CGACGCTACTTGGTCTTGGACCTGCCCTAAAAGGGTCGTTTCATACTGCATGAAGCTTTCAATACGTGCATTAAGAACTTCAGGACCTTGTGAATCAAGGAACTCCACGTACTCTTGACCCAAAGATGCGGTCAGCTTATCAAGCGTGACCCTTTGGGCCTCAGAGAGGGGAGTGGGGTTTCCCATCCTCACAGAGGATCAGTCTTAAAGACTCAGGCGTACATTGACTACGAGTGCTACCAAGTGTAGCGGAGCTGCACAGCTCCTAAAGTCAGAGGAAGGCTTAACGCTCTACGAGCAACTTAGTTCTAAAGAACTAACGACTCTACGAGTCAACAAGCTTTACAGCTTCAGATCCCTGTTCCAGACAACCTAACGGTTCAGTGAATCGACAGCACTCAGTGCTCAAGAGTAGCTACCTCAAGGAGGTGTTGCTAACTCTTAGTGATCAGTGATCAACGATCAAGACGGCTCGCAAGCGACGTGTCCTTTGGATCAAAATGGGAACTGATTTATTTAATGTTAAAACTTATAGAATATCTTAATCCTACTCAAAGATCTTTCGTACCTAATGGATGACACTTGTCAGCCTCTACAACCCCTATAAGATATTTTATATCACCTTCCTAGGGGTACCATCAGGTGTGTGACACACCTGGTACAAAGTACCCATCTACGTGCAACCCCGATACAGCTTAAGTCGCATCGAGGTAACGGCTGATGCTGTGTTTGCAAGCTGGACTAGTCCAGTTTACTTGTACCCACCTTCTCTCTCATTGTAAGCTTAATTTCGCTGCATAGACGATCTAGCAGTGACTACGGCAACATGCAGCTAGCAGTCTTATACTTTGCGAATCGGGCGTTTTGTACCTGCTCCCACGTCTGACTGATGTATAAAAAAAAAACTGGTCTTCCGGCTTATGCTACTCCATCTCGCTGCTCTCGTCGCAACAGTGGATCAAAACGAACAAATGAAGCATTGAAATCACGCTGTGCATTGCTAACTGCATGTACCACTCATTTTGTCCATGCCACGCATGTCGAAGTAGAGCAGAATAGTGGAGGAAAAGCACGTAACTCTGTTACGACCGTTCGTGAGGAGCTAGACGCTTTCTTACTCTACACTTTGGTTTGGTGCTTGTAGACGCAGTTGTTTGAGATAAATTGTGGATAACGAAAGCATGGGTGCAACACTAAGCTGGTCGCAAGTAAGATGGACAAGTAGACTAAGACACTTTCTTTGTTAATGGTGTGGTGAGAAATGAACACACCGCGATTATGATAAATTCGGGTCAACAAAACGAAAGCTCAGTGGGATGAAATACTGGCTGCATGAAAATGGATTAGACCGGAGCCTAAACAAGGTAAACATTACCTGCTAAGAGAAATAGCGTGTGTCGTTGCGAAGGAAAGAACAGTTGCTCGATGTCATCGAATCGGTGGCTCACCTGAATCTGTAAGCGTGTGCGGTACGACGCTGCAGTTTTGTGAAGGGTGATTGAGTCACGCTGGTCGCCCTGTGGATATGCTTCCGAGGCCAGTTCGTTTTTACGGTGACACTCATGGAACCACCTCGAACAGCCTCGATTTCTTTCGAAACGAGCAGCAGACGTTTACGAGGGTATTGTTACGCGAACGACAACTGTTTAAAGGACTCATTAACGACATTGTGAGCGAGGAAGGCAAAGCAAGTGCGAATCGGATCGTATACGACGCACTTCATCTTTGCCGACAGAAAAGTAGCGTACTAAGCACTACAGTGTGGGGTGTTACATACCGAGCTCTGCGAATGGAATGAAGTGTATGTTAAACTACTCTTTGTAACCCCCGTGCGGGTAAGAAGGGCCCACCTCGAAAGATATTCGGTGGAAAAAGCGGAGCTTTCTATTCTCCGACATGCGTAAATGTCCCAGCCGGCTGCTTTACAGCTGTCGTTAGCATCTGAAACGCATACATTTCTTGTGCTAGTATGTGTTTACCAGAAGCCATGCAATTCTGGGCTCCACACACTCGTACGCATGGTGTCGAGGGTTCCTGACTACGACTCGATGATACAATGAGTTCAGGAGATCGGACTAAACGAGGTGGATAGACGTTCCCTCACTTCCACACAACTGTCCTCCATCTACCGCATTTGCACAGCTCAAAACCTTGGCACCAGGTCTGTTACACCAGTGTGCCTTTTTCGCCCTCCAATCCTGACGCATAACGACAAATTATGACGCTTGAATGAATATGAGGAATCACGCCAAATATCGCCAGTTGCGAAGCTATTGTCTCTACAAGGATGACTGCTTACCAGAACAACGAAGCCACAGCCCATCAGTTTTCCTTTTCACCAGACCCATCGGAGCGTTTTATCATTCCACACACTTGAGGTTGTGAATATTGTAACGAATCCGTTGAATTGCAGCGACAAGCCACGAGATATCACATTACACTAGCAAATGCTAAAAAACACACACTTTAATAATCTCTCTACACAGCTTGGCTCATCGTAACGGTCGAATCGTCAGTAGTATCTTCAGATAAAATTGCTTTTTCATACCAAGCGCTGCGCCGAAATATTTTGTCTACGTTATACGCTTTTGATCCTTTCTCTTCCGCATTTCACCCAGTTGTCCGGTACTTGTAGAAAATAAAAGTCAAAAAGTCTTGTCCCTGACTGAAAAGTAGTCTTTTTCGGCACCCGTCCACTTGAGTCCACTATTCGAGACGTTACAATTGACTACATCTCACCGACCGTCCGCTACGCTTCACAGTCTCGTCGTTGCCGTGCATTTGACCTTCGTCTTCGTCAAGAGCTCGTCACAAGAAGCAAGTGCTTTGGAGAGCTGCTACAAGCAACTTGCAGCGATGAAGATGGAGCGTGGACCGAGCTACACCGAGTACGAGGACGTCGTCCCTGAGTCTGGAGACAATGGGCAGCCAGTACCAAGTTCGAAGGGACTGGTGAAGCGGATTAATGTGCCCACAGTCACGGGTCGGATCATGGACCGCAAGGACCAGATGTTCAAGCGCTCCAAGGGACAGTGGAAGTACGTGATCAACTGTCTCGTAGTTATTGATGTAGCCATGACGAGTGGAGAGACGAACGGGGATACTGATATTGTATTTGATGTGGTGCTTTTTCAATGACTCTTCTCGTTTTAGCATTCGTCGTCAGAAGGTGCCTCACTATTGGAAGCTGTACATGCAGGATCCGTTCCACACTGTGGTCAACATGCGGCTGAGCAAAGTGCTTGGATCGCTCGTCTTTGCGGTGCGTAGTAACGACGAGTGGCTGAGGTTTATTATTGCTGCGTGACGCAAGACACTGACTTCTTTTGATGTTACTTTTTGGATGTACTTTGTGCGTGTGTCTTTATTTGTTTGTTGGCGACGGATGCAGTATATCGTTGTAATCGTCCTGTTCGGCGCGTTGTATATGACGCCACCGGACCATTGCAAGCTCGCCATCAGCTCGTTCTTCGGTGGTTTCTCGTTCTCCGTGTCAGTGCTGTTTACTATTGGTTTCGGCACCAACGGCGGAGACGTGTTTTTTGGCCAGTGTGTCTGGGTGCAGACGATCATCACGCTCGAGTCCTTCTGCGGCATCTTGCTCGATGCATTGGCTATCGGCATCATCTTTCAGCGGTTCTCACGCGCTCAGGCACGAGCGAATACCATTGTGATGAGCACGCACGCTTGTGCTCGTCGTATTCGTGGCGACTTGTACTTCATGTTCCAGGTGTGCGAGATGCGCAAACATCAGCTTGTGGAGGCTCACGTGCGTATGTACGCAATCCGACACGACGTGGAGTTCGGCGAGCACTACTATTTCCAGTCGTATCCAATGCGCATCCAGCACCCGGATGACGACCTCGGTGGCATGATGTTGCTGGCACTACCTTCAGTCGTAGTGCACCGCATGGACGCCTGGAGTCCACTGTTACGGCCGAAGGGTGCAGATACGTGCGGTTCGCACCACAATCCCGCCCGAGGCTACTTGTTTCCCGAGCCGCTGTGCCGTGAGGCTGATGCACAAAGTGGAGACCGCGACGGGTCCGTACAAGTTGCTACAAAGTCAGAGCACAACACGTGCCGTTGCGTGACTAACAATGTCGCTGTGAGTGACGTGCACGCTGCAACGGAGCCACCGACTATCGAGGAGATCAAGCAGTACTGGGCCGAGTGTCAGGTACGAACAAACGCTTTGATCGCTAGCTCCTTTGTGAAGCCTAACGACGTGTATCTTGTCTTTCTGGTCTCAGATGGAAGTGGTGGTGCTTGTCGAAGGTATAGACGCAGTCACATCGACAACGATCCAAGTGCGGCACTCGTACAAGGCCGAGGACATTACGTTTAACCACCGCCATGTGAATTGCGTAGATGTGGATCCAGCAACTGGCGGTGCTGTGATTGACTTCAACCTCTTTCATGAGACGAAGCCTGTGGATCCCGAGTGCAACAAGGTGGCCGGCAGCTTTTACTGATGCCGCTGGGATGGCAGTTCATTTCGGTACACAGAAAGCGAGCGAGGAGATGATGTCTCATATAGATACACTAACGATAAGGTTCATTTACACGACTAAAAGCACTTTGTATTTAATCGTGAACGCTCAATTGCAATCGACTGCATTCAAGTGAGAGAAGTGCTGCGTTCACATACGACCAACGTTGCGTGTGACACGTAGCACCGGTCGCAGTTACACTTGCTGTTTGTATCGCGCGTTGATGTACCCCGATCGACGTCACGGCTATAAATAGCCGAGCCAACAACCAACCAAACTGCAGTTGACACCAAGCAGCTTCAGCACATAGCCGCGACGGTGTCGTGTCGATGTGCATGGCAAGTCCATTCCCAGCTTAGCAATCGAGGTTTTTCCCCTCCTTTCGACCGCAGACGGACGGACCCCCACACAGCCAGAGCGCTCGCGCCATTGCCTCTCATTTCCGAATTTGCTGTCCACGACACACGTCAGTCGATTCCCCTGCTTTGACCCGATCTTCGATCCCTCATGGCATTCCGTCAAGTGTTCACGACGCAAGTGCGTCACATGAGCGCCCGCAGCTCCCGCAAGTTTTTCGTGGGCGGCAACTGGAAGTGCAATGGCTCGCTGCACCAGGCGCAAGAGCTCGTGGGGATGCTCAACACGGCCAAGATCCCATCCAACGTCGAGGTGGTGGTCGCGCCTTCCCAGGTGCACGCTGCCACAGTCAAAGCGTCTCTGCGCGCAGACGTGCGCGTCAGTGGCCAAGACGTGTGGACGCAAGGCGGTGGCGCCTTCACGGGCGAAACGTCGGCCGAGATGCTCAAGGATCTCGGCGCCGAGTACACGCTCGTGGGCCACAGTGAACGTCGGGAGAGGGGCGAGACCGATGAGATTGTGGCCAAGAAAGCGGCGTATGCGCTCGAGAAAGGACTGGCGGTGATTGCTTGCATTGGCGAGACCAAGGAGCTGCGCGAGTCGAACCAGACCGTGCCGTTCATTACCAAGCAGCTGGACGCGTATGCTGCTGAGATTAAAGACTGGACGAACGTCGTGATTGCGTACGAACCCATTTGGGCCATCGGCACGGGTCTCACGGCCTCGCCAGAGCAGGCACAAGAAGCGCACGCGAGCATTCGAGCCTGGCTCAAGGAGAAGATCTCGCCCGAGGCAGCTGCGAACACGCGCGTCATTTACGGCGGCTCTGTGGGAGCCAAGAATGCCCCGGAGCTGTCACAGAAGGACGACATTGACGGCTTCCTTGTCGGTGGCGCGTCGTTGAAACCCGACTTTCTGCACATTATCAACGCGCAGAACCCAACGGACAACGTCGGTGGGGCTGTGAATGTAGCTATTAACGGCTTTGGACGCATTGGTCGGCTCGTGCTGCGTGCTGCTGCAAAGAACCCGCTGGTCAATATTGTAGCCATCAATGACCCGTTCATCTCGACGACTTACATGGAGTACATGCTTGAGTACGACACAGTGCACGGGCGTTTTGACGGCGAGCTCTCGCACGATGAGAAGCACATTTATGTGAATGGCAAGTCCATCCGCGTGTTCAACGAGATGTCGCCTGCAGACATCAAGTGGGGCGAGGAGCATGTGCAGTACGTGGTGGAATCCACGGGTGCGTTTACGTCCATTGAGACAGCGTCGGCTCACATGAAGAATGGCGTGGAGAAAGTGGTGATTTCCGCTCCATCGGGCGACGCGCCCATGTTCGTGATGGGCGTGAACCACGATCTGTACGAGAAGAACATGCACGTGGTGTCGAACGCGTCGTGCACGACCAACTGTTTGGCGCCGCTGGCCAAGGTGGTGAACGACAAGTTTGGCATCAAAGAGGGTCTCATGACGACCGTGCACGCCGTGACGGCGACACAGAAGACAGTGGACAGCCCGTCGAAGAAAGACTGGCGTGGAGGTCGTGGCGCTTGCTTCAACATCATCCCCAGCTCCACTGGCGCTGCCAAGGCTGTGGGCAAGGTGATTCCTAGTCTGAACGGCAAGCTCACTGGCATGTCGTTCCGTGTGCCTACGGCCGATGTGTCGGTTGTGGACCTCACTGCTCGTCTTGTGAACCCCGCGTCTTACGATGAGATCAAGGCTGCGATCAAGTCGGCATCGGAGAACGAGATGAAGGGGATCTTGGGCTACACGGAGAAGGCAGTGGTCTCAAGTGACTTTATCGGCGACCCACGCTCGTCCATCTTTGATGCGAGCGCTGGCATCGCCCTGACGGATGATTTTGTCAAGCTCGTGTCGTGGTACGACAACGAGTGGGGCTACAGCTCGCGCGTGCTGGATCTGATCGAGCACATGGTCAAGAGCGAGTAAAAGCCACAGCTTTGACATGTTGACACTCGAAGGTAGAGACCATGTTCGTAAGAAAGAAAAGATACTACTCAGCATGTTACAAACCGTCCCTGTTTACAGAGCGTTTTCAGTCGGATGTGTGTGATGGAGCTGCTAATTGCAAGAACTAATAATTGAGCGATCGATTAATTGCAAGCAGGAACAATCCCAATATCGATGAAACAATATGTGCTGATTAAAATCAGCAATTGTGTAATTGTATTGCAATAATTGAGTTTACGCGACACATCACAATGGCGCTCCTGGTCCCCGACTACGCGAGCTCCTCCGAGGACGAGGACACGTCTCGCTCACCCATCGCTTCCCACCCTCCTGTCTCTCCTCCTGCATCTACACCGCATCCAGGTTCAGTGTCATCCGCTAGCGTCGCATCCGCTGCATCGTCCAAGCAGAAGCTGCAGGGGCTTACAACAAAGAAGACGAAGACGAAGAAGAAGACAAAGAGAAGGATCAAGACGGCGCTGTACCTTCCACCGGAGATCCAGCGGCTTCTCGAGACAGGAGTCAGTGCTGGATCGTTCTCCGAAGACAGTGAGGACGACAACGAGCTGTTGGCCAAGCACAGACGAGCCAAGAAAGCAGTTACGAAGCGTCCACGACCAGCTGCAGCTGCTAAAGACTCGGTCCTGTCTTTCCTCCCGCCTCCGAAGCATGAGCTTCCAGCTACAAAACTAAATGGAAGAAGGACTGTAGGTGCTGTTGACGAGGAGAGAGTGGAGGAGAATCCAACTTGGGTGCAGACCACAGAAGCTCCAAGCGGTCAGCATCCAGTAGGCGAAGAGATATCGACGGCAAATGCTGCAGCCTGGCAGCAGTACTACCAGCAGCAACAGTATCAGGCCAGTGATGCTGCAGATTCACAGGAATATTGCATCGCACAAGGAGAAGATGATGTCGAGGGTGGCAGCTCCAAACGCAAACGGACGCGGGAGCGAGACATTGAGCGTGCACTTCAAGAAGGTCACTTTGAGACTGTGGCGGGGCAACTTGCAGAGGTGCAAGGTCCGTTGCCTAATGTGTGGCAACCACCGGTTAACCCGTTGGCAGGCTCTAACGGATCCGGTGACGTGGACGTGAAGGTGAAGGCTAGCTTTTGGAACGCCCAAGCTGGTACGAAGGTGTCATCGGTCAAGCCTAGTCGGCTGCAACGACAGAAACATCAATTGAATCAGCTTGCGTTCGATGCTAAAGCACGTGACTTCGATTTGCTGGACCGACGCAGCGCGTCAATGAAGACCAAGAGAGAGACGTACGCCAAGTACGGATGGTAGCAGGACATGTATGACATTAGTGTCTGGTAAGCAAAGTCCTTGCAAATGCGACCTCCATTCAACCATACATACCCATGTTCTCATACCCATGTTCTCGCTTCTTACGACACACTCAGGTCCGCCATAGCTGCTGTTCGCTCCTCGACTGCTTCAGCAGAGACGCCATCTTCAGGACCTTCCAGGCTCAATTTGTTTGCATCCTCGAGTTCCTTGCCAGTGTCACGTTCTTGGTCCTCCTCGTTCAAGTATTCTTCCGTGAATGCCTCCATCTCATGCTGTGTCCGTGCTGTCTCAGCCTTGCTGACATTGCCGCGGCGTTCAGCGCCCAACGTCTTGAGCTTGCGGGTGCCCTTGTGCTGCTTGCTGCTTTCACGGGGGTACACCTTGCGCACCAACACGAGGTCAGGAAGCTCTCCCTTCAACGAACGCGTTTGGCAGGTGCCAAAGACAGCTGAAGAGAGATCGTAGCCTCTGACTGTATCGCCTGCAGTCAACACACCACCAAGGTGCGTGCGCACACGGAACGTCGTATCATTCACGCCAAAGTCGCTCATGCGAGCGACTTCCACGTCCGCCACGACAAACTTGGACATTTGCCCTTTGCTCGAGGTCGGTGCATGGCGCAAGTCACGCGGCTCCACCGGGTCGACATCCAACACGATGAACTCGACCATGTCTGAGCTGGTCGCCAGTGGCAAGAACGGCAGCTTCCAGTACTTGTCCGTCGACAGTTCCGCCTTCTGTCCCGAGACGGGGTCCACCAGATGCACCATCGATGTCGCGCGTGCACACAGCGTCAAGTCGGCAATATTGCCACATCCCTGCGCGACTTTCCGAGGCAACACGAGCAAGTCGTCTTTACAGATCGGACTGAGCTCGACGCTGTACGTGACCTGCAAGTTGGCCGTCGAGTTGCGCACGTCCTCCGAGATGACTTTGCTCGACGTCTTCGACCGCATCGGCACGTGAGCCGACAAAAAGTGCAGGAACCGCTCAGCTGTAGACTTGGAGCCAAAGTAAAAGTCCATCCCGTCTTTCACCGTGGCAATCCCAATAGCTTCCTGGTGGGCATTGTGCTTGAGAATGTCCTGTTCTAGACGAAGAAACGTCCGTTTGTGGTCAGCTTTCTGCCGGATCTGTACCAGGGCACGCCATGTATTGTTATGGTAGTGCTTCATGCAGTCGGGACACTTGGTCGAGTGCAGGACAAACGTGACGACGCACGTGTTCTGCACCACCGCGTGGTTCGCTGCTTCCCGTTGCAGCGTGAGCCGGAGCTTGACCCGTTTCGAGTGGGGCTCGGTCCAGATGAACCCGGCATCCAGGAGCTTGGCTTTACTGAGACCCGCAATGCTCTTGAGACAGAGCGCCATGAGCTCCTTCGACTCCCAGTCGCAGTCGAGCCACGCGCCAGAGCTGCTGCTGCTATGCTGCTGCGTCTTGCCTCGGGACTGGAAGCGCAAGCAGCCGCGACATTGCACGAGCTCGCCCGTGGTGGCGATGCCCTCGGCCACGTCGACTTCAGCTGCGAGGCAGGACGGGCACATGTTCATGGCGTTGGCCTCGATCTGAGCGCCGCAGATGCAGCATGCACTGGATCGAGAGAAGGATAGGTGAAGAGGATATTGGTGAGGTGGATAATGGGGAGTGCATAGAGATAATGGGAGGGTACAGAGGCAGAGGAGGGGGACGGATTTAGACGTACATGGTCATGATAGAGCTGACGGGGAATTTCTTGGTGACAATTGGCGGATATTCTGTTGAAGTGTCAAGGATTGAGCAAATGAGTGAGTGAGAGTGAGATGGGCTTTTGGTTGGGGATATAATTTGGTGTGGCGTCGTCTCAGATCTGATGGGCGGGTGAGAACACGTGCGGTTACACTTCAACAACGGCGTGTCACACGTGCTACTCCTTCTTTCGGACGCTTTCCCTATGTTTACAGAGTCAACGTGGCTGAGCTCTCACTGCATGGATTGTTTTCACTGGCAACCTGTCGATTTCATTACTAGCTTACTCCTTTGTTTGACTACTACGGGACGTACAATCAGACCGTGGAAGGTAGATGACCTTGCCATTTACAAAGACCGCGTGACGCTTCCTTCTCTTTGCTACCTCAAAGCGATATATTGAAGTTTGCATTTCGCGGTTACGATCACTCTCTCAAAATGTACTTGACATTAACGCCACTATCTCTTAGAAGGCAGGCGAATCGACTGCGACATGATCAGCATAATGGTTGAGTATCTCCGAGCAAGTGGTTGAGATTTTCGTATTGTTCATGGCATCGCTGCTGCTGATCCGCCAGCATATGCCATTTTTTCTTTGTCAAGATCTGACACGGCGAGGGCTCTCAACTAGGCTCGAAGTAGAGCCGTGGGTAATGACTTCCACCAGACTACCCGAGTCCGGCAGTAGGAGAATGCACTTGCTGATTTCGCGGACACTGATTTCGCCATCTTGTCTACTCTCGCTATGTTGACTGCAACTCGAATTGCTGGATTACTCAAAGCTGATTGCAAGCTCGTGAGCAAGTACTTGTCTTACTCAGCTTGTAGCTGCTTCCACTAACCATCCATCCATTAGACAAGTCATTCGTAGCACTGCTTCGAATTAACCCTTGATGCTTCATTACGACCGCTGACTCCACGGCATCGTCAATGGAGCTATCTTCCAAAACAGCCAAGATCACATTTCCCAACCTTGTAGTCGACTCGAATGGCCAAACTTTGCATGCCCTGCCACTATATCAGCATAGGTACATCCTGTGCTTCCTCAGCTTAGCTTCACAAGCAAACGCACTACCTGCTTTACCATTCAAAGAAGCGATATCTCCAATTGGTCTCGGTCTATACGATCGATGATGCAATTCTTTACTGTCGCCACATCTATTATCAATACATTGCTCGGTTGTTCACTTGAGGCTTTGTTCTAGCAATGGCATCCACTCGAGTCCACTTCCTTGCACACGGCTATACCACGATCATTCCATGTTGACTGAAGCTCAGCCTTCGCCATCTTGAGACCACTGACACTCAGCGCCATTTTCCTAGAGCATGAGATCCCCTACGTAACTTAAGCATCCGGCTCTCTTTTCATCAAAGCTGGACATCGCTGCACACGCACTTCCTTGCTCTGAACCTTGTTTTCCTGCTCATGACGCAAATGTTAACACCTCAAATCAGCACCAGTCTCAACTTCGTCGCGACTTGTTTTACCTGATCAGATCCTGTGCAGTCTCACCTGTATTCCCCTAGCTCGTGACGTCTCCTCCTTCGTAGTCTACAACGTCCTGCTGTCCGGCATCTGTTGACTCGTTATGAGTTAATCGTCGTTATCATCCACGCCTTCCACCTGACCTGCCTCCGATATCTCGTTGAAATAGTCCTGTCTAGCCTTCTCCAACGCAAGTGCCATCGTAGCACCGTCGACAGACGAATTCTGCGAGCTGGGAGGCCGCGCGACAACTTCGTCAGCCACGCCCTTACCACCCCCACGACTCGAAAGATTTTTCGAGGATCCTGTCGAGAACAACGAAGTCGAGTCGGCATGCAGATCCGCCACTGCATCTCGCAACCGTGACTCTACGTTTCGGAGCTTCTCCACAATCTCTGGGGCAATCGACGCATACTTCTGCATCCAGCGAAAATCACTCAGCAGTTTACCATCTCCTTCCGTCGAGCCATGGGCCACCATCAGTGCATTTAGAAACTCAGCGTTCATCAAAATCTCCTGTTCCACCGACTCGACCTTGGCTAATTCCTGCGCGTGCTCTGAACGGACTCGCGCCAGCTTCTCTTCCTCATCGAACAAACTCGCACGAAGCTCACTCCACTCCATGATGCCGCAGCATGCAGTCAAATTCTGGTACAACGACTGCACTTCAGCAGTCAAAGAAGCAATTTCTTCTCGAGTAGTGCTAACGTTTTCAGCATAGCTGCATTCGCTCGGCTGAAGTGCATCTGCCCGCTCTTCGAGGTCTTGTAGCTTGCTCTGCAGTTTGCCCAATTCGTAATACTTTGCACTCTCCACCGCACGGATCTTCTCGCGGACGGCAACGACAGCAGCAGTCAGTGCTTCGTTCTCAATGCGAAGTTCTTCAACTTCGCGCTCCTTCATATCTGTTCGTCGCTGGTACGATACCTCACGCTTTTCCCGATCATTCCCCTCTTCTTGCAGCTGGCGCTCCAGCTGATGCTTCTCCTCTCGCAAAGAAGCCATCTCGTCATCAAACTCATCGGATCCATTCGCAATGACTGCAGACTTGTGGTACTGCTCTTTCAGCTCCCTACGAAGTTGTTGCACAACCGACTCCAGGTCAGAGATTTGAGATTCGTGCTCCTTCACGTGCTTGCTTAGCTCTTGAGCTGTCGCGCTGTCCACGGCAGCCTGTTTAACGGTTAGCTCGTACTCACCCTGGAGTCTCTCCAATTCATGCACCGTACGGCGATGCGTCGCGTACAGGGCGTCGAGGTGATACGTGATGGCGTCGTCATCACTCATTTTTGCACCCTCGACCACTTCATTCCCGCCCAAGGCGTTCGCAGCATGCACCAACTCCCCCAGAATACGTTTGAGGCGCAACTGCAGCTGTCGTTCACGGTGCTGAGAGGCCTGTAGAGATGCTGTTAGCTCGGTCATTTGGCTCATCAGTTCTAGGCGGACGGCGTCTACTTCTTTGCCCGACTCAGCATTTAGTGTCTTGATGTCTACATTGAGCTTGGCAATGGTATCCTCCAGATCCTGCTCGCAATCACGGCTGCTCTCACGCTCCTGCTTAAGCTTCGACGTCAGCGAGTCAACCTGGAACACGTAGCGGCTCTGCATCTCTTCCTGGGTCATCGCCATTTCTACCAGCCGCTTGCGATTCGATTTATCCGACTGCTTTGCCTCCTGAAGCATCGCCTGCTTGGCCTCCAGCGTACTCGACACTTCGGCAAGCTCAGCATAAAGCTTGTCGACTTCCGCTTGCATCTGACTCTTAACAACAGCCAGCTCCTCCTCCTTTTCAGCAGATGCTCCACCAATGTTGGCCTCGATATGAGATGCATCTCCCTCCAGACGAGCCTTGGTCACCTCAAGCTCTAGGATTTGCGTCGTGCATGTATCGATCTTGCTTCGAGCCTCTTTGATTTCGTCGGTGAGACTGGACACCTCACGCTGGCGTATTGTTTCTTGGTTCTCCAGTTCCTTCTCCAGCTCGGCAATCGTCACTTTGGTCGTTGCAAGCTCAGACCTGGCACTTTCCAGCTCCGATATTCGCGCTTCAAGCTTTGACGTTATTGCAGCAAACTCGGCTGCATGTTCGAGACGGAGATCCGTCTCAGTCTTCAGTGCAACACGCTCGTGCTCAATCTGTGCACGCTGAAGTTGTTCTAGTAAGTCGTTCTTCTCGTCCTTCAGCGCAGCCAGCTCGACTTCGATAGCGTCGATGCTGCCCTTTTCAGCGAGCGTATCACAGAATCGCCGCATTGTTCGCTCTTTGTCTTCGACTTGCTGCTTCAGCTCACTGATCTTGCTATCGTAATCGCTCGAAAGCCTGGTGATGGCGTCCTCCATAACCACTTTTTGACTTGCCTTAGCCGCATTGAGCTCTTCAACCATTTCCTCGACCTTCTGCTTCAACTCCTCCTTCTCTAGACGGCTTTCGAGAAGCGATTTCTCCAACCCCTTGCGCTCCTCACTGCTCACAGCTGCAAATGCGGTTTGCTTCTGAATATCAGTACCAGTTTGAAGTGCTTGAGCTACACCCTCCATTTCCTTCAGTTTCATTTGTGTAATGAATAGCTCGTGTTCCTTCATAGCTTTCGCACGACGAACGGACTTAGCTTCACCCTTGGATAGATCCAGCATCTTGGCAGAAGCCGTCTCAACACGCTCCAGCGTCTTATTTAGCAGTGCAATCTGGGTCTGCTTAGCTTGTAGCTCCGACGTCAGCCGCCGGACCTCCTTCTCTTTTTTGCTTTCCAACTTGTGAATCTGGTCACGAATTTCTGCCACCTCTTTCTTCGACTTACGCATGAGCTCATTGTTCTTCTCGTTCTCAGCCTTTTCACGAGCCAGTAGGGTTTCCAGCATTGTACTCTTTCCCTGTGCAACACCCATCAACTTACTCTCCTCCTGCAGCTTTCGCACAAGCTCCAAGCGCTCTGCGTCCTTCTGCTCTTCCGCCTTGGTCAGAGTCATACGGAGTGCCTCCAACCTTGCTTCAAACTGCTTTTCCGCAGCAGCAAAGCGGTGCTCTACTTCTGCCTTTGTCGTTGCCAGGACCTCCAGCTCTACTACAGAGCGAGCAAGACGCTGACGCAGCTTATCATTCCCCACATCCTTGTCCACAGAGTCATGGCTTAACTGCTGACCGGTCTGCGTCATGTTTTCCTGAAGCGTCTTTGTGGCCTCCTCAAGCTTTTTTTGCTTTTCAGCAAGCTCTGAGAGCTGATCGTCGATCGACTTCGACTTTTCCTCGTTTCTACTTGCAATCTGCTGAAGCTTCTCCTCCATCAAGGCTGCAGCACTACACTGTTGGCTCTCCATCGCCTTGTTCATCTCATCGCGCAGTGAGTTACTAGTTTCCTTGGCCTCCTGAAGCTTTCTCTCGTGAAGATTCAAAACGCTTAAAAGCCGTGCCACCTCCTCTCTGTCCTGCATATGAGCATCTTGCAACGGAAGCAGTTCACTTCGGCGTAGTACCGAGCTGTGCAGACTCTGAATATTATCCGACAGATCATTCTTCAAAGCAGCTAGACCCTCCTGGCGCTGCAAGAACGAATGCTCTTCCAAGCTTTGCACCTTCTGCTCCATCTTCTCAGCCATGCGGATCACCTTTTGCGACAATCGGTCCTCCATTTCACGAAACTCGCGCGTCAGACGAATGCTCAGCAAGTTCTCCACAGCCTTCATGTCCACCAAGCTGCCCATTTGACGGTGCATCAACTGCACTCGGTCTGCCAGCTTGAACAATCCTTGTTCCTGTTTCTGCCGGTTGGTAACAAGAGCTTCAATGTTGTCCTCCAGCGTCGAGATCTTCATCGTCGCGGACGACAGCGACTTGACTCGAGTGCTAAGCTCTGTCAACTCGCGGTCAGCTCTTGCTTGGCGGTCCAAAACCTCCGCACTGTGCTTTTCAAGGCGCGCTATTGCAACGGTGCTGGCCTGAACACCCATAGAGTCCGAGGCTGCGTGCCCCGATAGATTAGCGCTAGTGCCCACCTTACGTAGATCCAAGATCTGCGAACTCAAGCTCGCAACGTCCGTGCGCAAGTCCGCCACCTTCTTATCCACAGCGCCATTGCGCGACGCAAAGTGCATCTCGAGACTCTTCTTGATCTCGTCAATGACGTGGTTTGGAATGTCGCTGGGGATGTCGGCGTCCGGGACGCGGATCCGCGGACCCATACTGGCGCTCAATGGTTGAGCAAGGGGGCGCGACTCGTAGCATGAAGCGGCCGCCGAAGCCGAGCAGACATGCCCGTCATGGACCGCGTCTCATCCAGATCATAGCGGGCGCGAGCTGCACCCAGATCCAGTCCACTGACTCCAGCCGACGCGCGATGTTGCTGCAGTATCGCGGCTGTCAAGCCGCCCCCACCTGCAATCCCAATGTGTGGACGGCTCGAGCTGCTGCTCCCGGTCACGCTACTGCTGCCGTGATTCGAGTCCTGGTTCACGCGCATTGGACCTCCGCGGTTACTGGACAAGGAGCTGCCGTCATCGTCGTTGCGGATAAAAGCTTTGGGTCGGGCTGATGCTCGCGATGACGTCGAGCAGACGTCGTCGTCCCCCCCGGACAAAAGCTTTGGGACGTCCCACTGACATGTGGGATCCCGTAGATCGCACGTCGTCGTCCGTCCGGATAAAAGCTTTGGGACGTCCCACTGACATGTGGGACCCCGTGGATCCCACGTCGTCGTCCGTCCGGATAAAAGCTTTGGGACGTCCCACAGACATGTGGGACCCCGTAGATCCCGCGTCGTCGTCATCCCGTCGGATAAAAGCCCGGGGACGCGCTGAACTGCGCGAGTCCGTGGACCGCACGTCGTCTTGGGCGCTCACGTAAGCGCGTGGTCGGGTCGACATGGAGCTCGTTTGTGCTGGTCGGCCGTGTCTTGTGTGCGACTGTCGCAGTTGCGACCCTTCTGTCTGTCGGTCAGTCGCTTTTTGATGATCAGGGACCGCTTTTTCTAGTGTTAAAACGCGCGCGTGACGATACCGGAGGGGCGAGCGGAGACTGTGGGGGTGGGCGCCAATTGGCAGCGACTGGCTGTCTATGTGAGCACGACGGACACGTTCGCACGTCAGTCAGCAGCTGAGCTGGTTGTCGCTTGAAATGGCTTCACGTCCTGTCTTTTTTACGGTGCATAGTGAACGCAAGCGATTGGCAATTCAGTGAGGAGCAAACGACGGGCGATGGGGCAACCTGGACACGTCTCTTTTGCGTCAACAGGTCGTTCAATCTCTACTGCTACATGAAGCGACCGAGGACTTTCGTTGGCAATCGATGGACTCGCCACTGAGAGAAGCTCCACATCCTTTTGATTGACAGGTGACGCCAATTGCCATCTGAGCCCTTGTTTCTTTTACCATAACATTTGCTCCTGTTAGCGACCGATTTTCTGGCATTGCCGCCATGAGCACGATGTCGCGTCCGGCATACTCAGTCATAGACGGACCTTACAACTCGTCGGCTGCGCAGCTCACACGCCTCATGAATAGCTGATTATCTAAAAAAACATAGGTCTGGTAGTAGAGCAGCTGTAGATGGATATCCTCAGCTCTAGCTGGCAGCACATTTCGAATCGATGCAGAAGAGCGCAGCAGCTCTATAGCAAGACTCGGACGTACTGAAGTCGCGTGCATTACGGCGCGACCGAGAGCAACAGAGAGGCTGCAAGAACCGAAGAGAAGACTGTGGTATATCTGCAAATTCGTGTTGTCGTCAATAATGCTTCGCTGCACTCGGCTTGACATTTTTCAACTGAAACTTCCGATTTGGAAGGATGTTTGGAAGTAAAAGTCACGATTTTCATGTCATCTACTGGAAACCTATACAATGGTTGCCCAGGAAAGTCCGTTTTGGACTCAACACAACATAACACTGGCAAACAGAATCCTTCGCGCCGGTAATAATTCTCTTAGAGAGGAAAGACTATGCAAATGAGACGATAAATTCGCACTACTGATCTAAATGTTAAGTTTGCATCCACCGAATTCTGTAATTATTCAATAAATTTGTAAGAACACGCAGAACATTTATAAATTGATGAAAAACAGCCATACTCAATTTTTGGAGCATTAGCGTTCTGAAATTTCATTTTGAATCCGAAACCCCGAATAACAGATTTTTGAAAGATGTCGTTGCATTCAAAATGAGACGAATGCTAAAGCTTCAAACTGTTACGTCAATTCTTCCGTTGCAATTTCAGATACTGTTTCCTTGCGTAAGTATTCTGGACAAACATTGGATACATGGATAAAATTTAGGTGTACAATTTACCCGATTTTTGTCCCTATTAAAATCTCGATGCTATAAGGTCGAGTTTGAAGAACACGTGAAGAGTATTAAAAAATTATGGCCGATTGATGTCTAATCTTTTCAGTCATGAAGCTACTCTTAACCGCTTCTTCAACAGCTCCGTAAGTCCATTCTTTACCATAAATATGCGCCTTATTAACTGCACATCGCGGATAACTAGCACGGGACCCTATAGATCACTTGAAACGGTACTCTTTATCATGATCCTCGTACAACACAGCACTAGTCGTATCAAAACTAATGTGCTTCCGTTAGTAATGAGATAAAAAGGCAAACACCGAAGTGATGTATTAGTTGAGACAATTGGTTCTTCTGCGAACCATGTTGCATCTGTGCCTGGTGTCTATGATATGTTCCGTATCCATGGATATAAAACATTGTTGTAGCTACGTTTCGTAACGATCTGGTTATCTTCTGGTAATCAGTTTACCAAATGACAGTTGCACCGCATATACGCTTATCGCATGTTCCCAGGAAAGTGATACGCACCCAATTACCACTATCTGATAAAACTACATTCATAAAGACAGAAATTCGGTGGACCTTGTCAGCAGTTATATGACCGTCACAAACGCATGTTAACCAGTAGTCAGAGACTCGCCGGCATAAGTCTAAACTCACCAGCATTATGTGCGCTCGTTTTGCACTCGGCCCTAGTTTTACATGCTACTGTTTTTTGTATAAGCAAACGCTTGCTACAAACTCTCTAAATACCTGTACAGAACATGAAGCAACATTATAAGCCTACCAAGTGTAGATAAAGAAAGCCAGATTTACAAAACATGAATCGATCATTCATGAGTGCACGTACAGGGAATCGAGCCGGTCGTAAAAGAAATGTAACTTTATAAACTATCAATGGTCCAATTTACGCGGTTAAGGCTAAAAATTTGGCGGCCGCTGGCACCAGTCTTACGCTCCCCCCGGTATAGTCCACCGTGATCTCCGTCCCGATCCGGATGTCGACCTGCGCCACGAGGGATATGATCGGCCTCCGTATCCCTCTCACTTCCACAAAATTAGTGTTTGGCTGGCAGGCGTGGGCTATGAACCGCGCGATCGAGCCGCAGCTCTCAGCGCACACATACACTCGCCACCCGTTGGCGTCCCTCTCCGTCAGCTCGATCGTGTAATGGGCGTACGAGGATACTTCATGTGCGTACTTCCCGTAGTACTGGCACACGACGTCGCCCGCTCGAATCGAGCGGGCTGCGAACACCCCCAGCCCCGTGTCGGTCTGCTTCAGGGTCAGCCGTCGCTGACGGAACCGGTTCTCACAACCCTTGGCCCCTACCGAACAGGTCTCGGCCTCACACACTTGCGCCACGCGGGCATTCCTGCAGCAACCAAGAAAGCATCTTCCTACGCAGCCACTTTTCTCCTCCCGCGCACCGTCCATCCGGAACGATATGTTGTCCGGGTTTAACATCGTGAGCGTCCGTTGGATGTCCGTAGGCCACGGTACCGCCTCGCCCACAGGGACGTGGTCGATCAACCATTGGCGCGTAGCACTCTGGGCTTGGTTGTCCTGCTGTTCCGCCGTCGGCCCGGGCGTCTCCGTCGCGGTTTCTTTTCCGCTCGCCCCTCCGCCGTCGTCCCTTTCGATGTGGTCGTTGCTTCCTTCTTCGTCTTCGCCGTCGCCGTCGTCTTGCGCGTCTTCACCTCCGCCATGGTCGTAGTCGTCGTCTCCGTCATCTCCTTCCGCATCGCTGTCGTCTACGTCTTCCTCCGTCAACTTGACCGGGGCTGCTGGTGGCCATTTGGGTCCGCCTATCACGAAGCACCCACTTCGCTTAGGCTTCTTCAGCCGGCATTTCTTCCGCGACACCCGTCTCAGCCCCAGCCGGTCTTTGCCTTTCTTGGCCCTCTTCTGGAACACGGCACGCGTCTCGAACTGGTCCAAGTCCGGTCGGGGATTTTTCTCGCGTGCGGCCTTCAGCTCCTGCTTCCTGGGCCGTTTCATCCCGGCGAGCGTCTCCTGACCTGCCGCTATCCTGGCCAACAACTGCTGGGTCGCGGTTAACTGCTCCTCGCCGGTCCGCCGCCTTGATCTGTGACCCTTGCTGTCGACTGGCGCTCTGCGTCCTCTCCGCCTGTGGCGGGTCTCTCCGCCTGCGGGATATCTGCCGCGGGTGTCATTTCTTGGTTTTCGGTCGGTTCTTCTACTTACTGTAGTGTCTTGACCGGCTGTGGTTGGCGGGGTCGGGTATCTCGTTTTCACTGTATTTCTTGGCCCGGCCTAGTTTTCAACCTCTTTATTTAGGTTTTAGCCTAGATTACTCTTTCTACTCTAACTCGCATAATAAAAAAAAATTCACCAGACTTACGCTCCCTAGTACTGACACACTACTCCGCCTGCGGGGATCAGGCGCGCTGCGAAGACGCCCAGTCCCAACTTGGTCGTCTTCAGGTACAGCCTGCGCTGCCGAAACCGGTTCTCACACCTCTTTGCACCGACGGAGCACGTGTGTGGCTCGCATACCTGAACTTCACTGGCATTCAGACACGTGCCCAAGGTGCACCGGCCTTCACATCCGCACTTGCCCTCCCTCACTCCCTCCATCTTGAAGGTGATGCCTCGCGGGTTGTCCATCCTCGTCATGTGACGCACGTCCGTCGGCCATGGCACACTCTCACCAAACCTTGCTTCTGGATAATGTGGTCCCGTGTTCCTGGCGCCGGTTCGTCATCCATGCTGTCGAACCCGGTCAAGTCAATAACGGGTGTCTTCTCCTCCTCTTCGTCAGCGCCGCTGTGCTGGTCTTGTTCTTGAGGGTCTTCGTGGGTGTCGTCGCTGCGCTGATCTTGATCTTGAAAGTCTTCGTGGTTGTCGTAGCTGCGCTGATCTTGATCTTGAAGGTCCCCGTGGTTGACGTCGATTTCCTGGCTTTCGTGTTCCAGCGTCATGACGCGATCGTCCTCGCTTGAGGATGCGACCACACTGGTATTCTCGTCCCCGTGGCGTGCCTCTTCTCATTCTACTGCCGTCCTCTGGCTCAGGAGAATCCATGGTTTTCATGGGTTACCATGCAGCCACTACGCTTCGGCTTGTGCAGGTTCGACTTTCGTCTCTGCTTGGTCCGGACTCCGTAGCGGTCCTTTGCCTGTTTTTCCCTTTTCGCGAACACGGCACGTGTATCATATTTCTGCAGCTCTTCTCGTGTGTTCTTCTCGCGCTCGGCTCTAAGCTGCGCCCTCCGCTTGCGTTTCTGATCCAGCCGATACTGGTTTCTGGCTTCGTTGAATCCGACGCTGCTCGGGTAATCCTCTACCCGTGGCGTTGGTCCCTCGGTCTCTGCCTCCGTTGACGCTTCGAGGCGGTGTGTCGACGTCGGCAGCGATGCCAACATCTCTAGTCCCTGTTTCGCGCTGCCTTCGTTGTCGTCCATCTTGTTCTCGCTCTGTCGATCTTCTCTCTTTGGTCCAATACGTCTTCGCTCGTGTTTGTATTGGTTGATTTTCGTGTCTCTCTAATATTTCTGGACACGGCTCCCTTTCAATTTACGTTATTACTTTCCTTAGGTTCCTCTCCTATAGCCTTTTCAGCACCTAGCTTACGTAGCTCCTTTTTCCTATAACCAGCATAATGAAAAAAATTCAACCAGACTTACGCTCCCTTGGTTACGGTGGGGCTTTGCCAAGGACAGGCCTGCTTCGCATTACTTCCGATTAAGGGGTGGTGGCTTCCCTACCCTATCGACCCTACTCCCTGCTCACCCTTCATTTTCCTTCATCTTGCAGCTCCTGTTTGATCCCGAGCAGCCGCAGCGCGGCGTAATTGTCGTCCTTGTGGACCGGGCACTGGCAATGGAACCACAATGGATCTCCAGTGCGTCCCGTGTAGTCCGATGTAATTTCCTCGCCGGATTTTGTTGCCCTCTGGGACACGAGCGACACGACAACCGTGCGGAGTCCTTGCACCTCAACGTTCTCGGTGTTCGGATTGCAGGCGTGGGCGACAAACCGGGCTTTACCGCCCCCATGCTCTGCGCTTACGAACACCTGCCGCCCCCCCGGCGTCCCTCGCGTTCAGCTTGATCGTGTACGCCACATCGGGTTGAGCGGCGGTTGCATACGTCCCCCAGTATTGACACACCACTGTCCCTGCGTCGATCGGCCTCGCCGCGAACACGCCTACTCCTTGGCGCGAGACTCGGAGCTGCAAGGGACGGTTTCGATACCGGTTTCGGCATCAATTCGCCCCCACGGAACACGTCTCTTCTTCACAGACTTGTGCTTCGACTGCGTTGGCACACTCCGTGAGCTCGCAGGACTGTTGTAAATGATACGCCTCGGCATGACGTTTAAGAAAAGTGTTCTGTAGCTCAGTTGAAAGTGTGTCCTAATTAAAATGTTAAGACGGAGTGACTTCTCAATCGACTAGCATGGTGAGTAAGTCCTATACTTACGACTGTTTTTTTTTTGTTTTTTTTTAAAACAAAAGTTGGAATAACAAAATGAGCTCTGCCGACGGACGAACGCCGGAACCTCTCGGACTTTCGGAGGGGCGCAGCAGCCATCGTGGGCGCGCCAGGTCGGTAGGTGAACTCAGTTGGTCGTCGTCGGCGCGGGAAGTAGTAGACCTGGTCGGTCGGCAGACACGAGCGCGCTCGGAGCCTCGGGCCATCTCGTGTACGTGTCCGCAGCTGTCCAGATTTTTGGGATGTTCCAAATTTCCAGATGTCTAAATCTGGTTTTTTTCTTTTTTCTCCAGCCAGCCTGGCCATCGTGAACCGGACAAACGAAACCCCTGCCGGTGGTGAGACCAGTGTGGCAGCCCCTCCCGGCAAAGGTGCGGTTCGATCTCGAAATCCCGGGTCGCCGAATGCGCCCAATTATGTGGTGGCTGCTGACCCGGGGCCGGTGAGAGCCGGACCGGAGTAGGGAGAGGCTGGCGGGATGGTAGCAGCAGGCTTGGGTGACGTACCGGCCGCAACCGGGGACGATGAAGATCCTAGGCCAAAGCGAAGGCGATTGAGGCGAGTGTGTCGGAAGAACACCGACAGCGAAGGGGAGGAAGACGAGTGTCCCCCGGCGGAGTATACCGTCACCAGGATCATGGGACGGCGAGGGCAAGGCCCGTCCCAAGAGTATTTAGTCCAGTGGGAGGACCGGTCGTCAGAGTGGATGGCTCCCGCCGAGCTGAAAAACTGGTCTGAGCTAATGGAGGCATACGACCGGTATGTGAAGAAGCATCCAGACCGCAGGACGTCTTATGCCGAATTTGTCGCTAGGGATCTCCCAAGTATCCAGGTCATGGCTGATAGCCCAAAGGACGACTGTGCTCTCCACGCGATCCAAATGGCGTTTGAGCTTATGGGAGGGTTTGACAGAGTGGTCATGGAGTTGGGACGATTGTCGGAGAAATTTCTTCAGCGGATGGTCATCAGCGATAGTGGACGGCGAGGGGAGCTAAAGTACACGCAACTCGTGCTGTACCTCTGGGAGGAAGTCCCCCGCACGGAATGGTGCGTGTGCAAGTATGCCTTCAAAAAGAACTGGTATACGGGTGTAGGAACCGGACCACTGGGTGTCGCGCAGCTGGCGTGGCGGGCGAAGAACCCACTTGAAGACGGAGCGTATCTTATATACGCCCTCAAGGCCTCCCGACGAGGAAATTGCATCGAAATGCAGAAGATCGGGGACGCCAAGGTCGTGCGTGAAGACGGCGCCACACACGGCATCATGACTTAGACGTGGATAAGGAGGATCATCTTCGTTCGTCGAATTATGCTGTGAATGGCAGTTGAGTAGATCGATAACCGCTCCAAATGAATGCAGAGCACAGAAGGCTATGCCACAGGTGAAACGTGTGGGACACGAGTAGCTGAGGTGGTCACCACAGATCGGTGTCACCCCCAGGAGAGCGGATGGTAAGCGCATCCGGATGCATGAGCAGGGACCAGTCGAAGGCACGGTCGCGCGACATCGTTTCCATGATACGTTTGAAATTCGTTTGTTGGCCAGCATCGTACCGATGACGAAGGCTGTATCGAAAGTGCGCGCTTGAGGTTGTAAAGATGGCCATCAAGGCAGAGGTGGCGGGCGTCGGCCGTCGGCCATCGAAGAGGCAGCGGTTGCGGTCACACCAAATGAAGTGCAGCGTAACAGCACAAATAATGTACCAGACGTCCTGAACCACACCAGCATGACGCCTCCACGCCGGTCGTAGCCGGCGTTGTTGAGCAAAGACAATATCTATCCAAGAGGCCCTCGCGGAGCAGAAGTGGAGAAGAAGCTGGTGAAGACGGTCCCATAGCATCGCCGCTAGGTCGCAGTCCCTCGATGGCAGTACATCCTTCGCGTACGCAATACTGGATGCCGGGAGAAGATGCAGCCAAGAACCAGAACCGGGAACGAACCGGGAGAAGCCGAAACGCAAGCCGGAAGTGTAGGTCTCCGTACACCGGAAGCAGGATTCGACGCAGATACTATGAAGTCTTCAAGAATGCCTTGATATCCAGGCCTCCCGAACGAGGTGACTAAAGCGACAACGTAAGGTGCTGTGTCGGTTCCGGCGGTGTCCAGACCACGCTGAGGAGCGCCGACCGGAGAATGGTAGGAACCAAGCACACCCGACCCCCACTCGTACATCCCAGATGGGGAATAAGGCGCGGGCGGACGAGCGGTGGAGGAAAAACAAGCCCAAACGCCCCAAGCCGGTCCACAATTTGAGTGGCTTCGTTGAAGATTGCGCGCAGCCATTAAATTTTTCTCCAAGGTACCACCGACACATAGGAGAAGTCGATGTGGCGACGAACAAACAGCTCTTGCGTCGGCCAAGATTCACCTGCACGGATGAAGTTCGCCAGCGCCCGAATACCATAGACGCGGGACACGTGCAGCCGAAAGCTTCGTTGTGGCTCGGCAACCATGCCGAGACAGCGGCGATGGGCGGTAGTGGTGGCAGCTCGTGATGATGTCTCGAAATGGAGAGCCACGTCCGCGTGGAACCATATGGGTTGATGGAGTCCGTACCAAGCGCGTTCGTCGGGAGGAAGGTCGTTCCACGTGATCTGCCACCGGAGAGAGTAACACAGCTTCCACGCCGCCTTCCACCATGCAGAAGCCAGTCCCCATTTGATCATGTCGCCATGACGCAACGGGGATATGGTGAGAAAGTCCAAGGCGTGCCGCCGACCCGTGGACGGGATGAACGTCAGAGTCAGCTCTGAGCTAGCTGTCGTTTAGTCTCGTACCGATGGCGTCTCCAATCCACGGAAAAGCTGCAAAAGCAGTTGGAGCCGTTGACGCTTCAGATGAGCAGCAAGGTCAGGAAATCCCAACCCTCCGTCACAGCAGCGCTGGTAGAGAAAAGCACTGGGAAGGAGCTGAACGTGGGATGACTCGCGGTCGTGTTTTCGACTCAACACGAACCAATTCAGCATCGATTGCCAACGCCGCACAGTTGTCGTCGAAATGGACACATGTTGAGTGTAGTGCCACAAGCGTGAAAGGATCATAGTCTGGGCTACCAGCAAACGACCCCGTCAATACCACAATTTGAAGCCGTCGTAGAAGCGCTGCTCAAGAAAGTCGGTGATTACGGTATCGACCGAGGACTGCCCAAAGGGAGTACCAAGGTATTTCACCGTATCCGTCCGACTGAGAACTCTCAGACCAGGAAGAAGTGGACACGTGTGGTTCCAATTGAGCGCGAGCAGCACAGACTTTTGTAAGTTAAGTTTGGCAACGGACCCCTGGCACTATTCTTGGACAAGAAGCAGCTGGTCCTGCAGGTTCGCGATTGAGCTGCTCAGGAGAGTGGAGTCCTCAGCGAAGAATGTGCCGGTGGCAGTGTGGTCCGCATTCAGACAGACGCCATACTCCTAGTGTTTCCGGAGGAGATTGCTAAGAGGCTCGATGGTCAAGATGAAAAGAAGGGATGATAACGGATCCCTTTGCTTTACACTGCGTGTCGGGAAGAGCGCTGGTTGGATGTTCTGATTGATCATCAGATGGGCCCGTGGGTCCGTGTAAAGAAGCCGGATCCACCGCGTAAACGTCGGCCCAAAGCCCATGCGCTCGAGTAGACGAAACATGTAGTCCCAGTTAACTCGATCGAAGGCTATTTCAAAATCCAGAAACATCGCGTACGCTTCATCGTTCCGGCCTGTAAGTAGGTCTTGAAGATCGGCCAGAAAACGCACGTGGTGATGAATTGATCGTCCCTTGACGAATCCCTTCTGGTCGGGGTGGATCAAATCGGGAATCACCTGTTGGAGGCGATAGTATATTCACATCGACTTGTACAAGAGCAATCGGGCGGTAGTTTCCAGGAGCCGCACGCGACCCTTTCTTGTGAAGCAGAACAACTGCTGACTTCCGCTGGAACGGAAGGAGCGTACCGCGGTGGAGACGATCTTTAAAAACGATACTTAGGCAGTCTCCGAAAACATCAGGAGCGACCTGGTAGAAACCAGCCGTCAGACCATCCATCCCAGGTGACGAAGTCGCGCGCATGTGGCGGATGGCGGCTGCCAAGTCCGTAGCAGTTACCGGGGCGTCCAAGATGTCAAGGTCGAGGGAAGATACAGATCGAACGACTGTGTTGAGCAGCGTCAGCTGGAATGCAGCATGTGGAGGAGGACCCAGGCCAGCCGGACTGGTGGGATCTCCCATCTCAGACACCCAGTGCTCCAGGAATCTTTGAGATATGTACGTGGGATTTGTCGAAAGCGACCCATCGGGAGTCAAGGCTTCTTCAATGGAAACACGTCTCAAGCTTGTGTCCAGTGGGCGAAAGAAATACTTCGTTGATCTTTCGAAATTGGCCGCTTGGAAATCTAAGGCATCATCCTGGTTATACTGGCTGGTGCGAGTCGCAGTCTTCTTGTAGTAAAGCATGGCAGCATCGAATAGGTCACGACCCTGAGCACACGAACTTCCGCGAAACCGGGCCGCGGCGCGATTAAGACGTATCCGAGCCGCCGCAATGGCTTGGGTGTCTTGGAGGCGAAGCTTCTTCTGGACCGCCTGAAGCTGAGACTTGATGGATAGCTTCCAAGATTCCCATATCGTGCCCGGGTTTGAGGCAGAACGCAGTCTGTCCCGGACGATCTCTGCTTCTCGTTCGATTGCAGAAACAACCAGAGGGTAATATAGCAGTTAACTCGGAAACTCCCAGTATCCGCGGCCGTGGAGCTGAGATCCCGACCTGAAACTCACACTGTGAGCAAGATGGTCACCAGCATGTTGCGGAAGAAAATACCGAGAATCGCCATAGAAATCGTTCGAGAAGGACTCCGAAATCAAGATGTAATCCAGACGGTTCTTGCGGGGTAGAAGACCAGTAAAAACTCGTTTGGTGTCAAAGTGAATCCTCCAAGCGACGACGACCCCGAGTTTGGCCATCCATTCAAGACAGCTGGACCGACCCGGGTCATAGCGCAAGTCAGGAGTGGATGAGTCAAGCCTAGGATCCAAGGGAGTATTGAGATCTCCCGACACAATATGGGTCGCGTGGTCTTCAAACTCCTCCGTGACCAATCCCGAGAAGAACTGAAATTTCTTCTGGCGGTCGACAGGTGCGTATACGTTGTGAAGGTAGAGTGGAAAACCATCGACCAGCACTCGCACGACGAGATAGCGCCCAGTGACGAAGAGACGGTTGACTACAACCGCTGAGTTGAAACCCGGAAAGTCAGAGCGAAGCACTGTGACGACCCCGTTGCTCCGCCCCGTGTCGGCCGGTGTTGATGGAAGTTAGGGTCATTGACGAATACTTTGTGCTTGAGGCTGGAGTCAAGGTGAAACTTGAATGTCGAAGATGGGTGGCGTCACCGAACTTGGTTTCTTGGAGACACGAGACTGAGTGTCTGGATAGCAGGTTCTCAATGAGAAGATGACCGTTCTGCTTGATTCCGTTAGTGTTCACTGTCAGAACACTGATGTTGTTCCAGGATGTTGCTGCCGAGGAGCCTTTAGCAACGGGTGGCCAGCGCACCCGCTATCATCGACACACCGCCGTCGACGGCATGAAGCCGCAAGACGGACGAGTCGTCTGGGTAGAAACCATCAAGCTTCTGAAGAGCTTCGAGCGTATCCGGCAGGTGTCCCTGCCATTGCGCCTCTCTCCATTGCTACATGCAGTGAGCATCCAACTCGGACCGCAGAAGACGGAGGAGGGTGTTTGGGTGGAGAAGCCGCGTATGATGCGCAGGGATCCACTCGACTGGTTGACCAGTGATGTACTGGATCCAGTGGTCATTGGAAAAGATAACTGGGGCAATGGACATGAGCATGAGCTCGAACATGCCCAAGGCCTTCGACGCACGAGACAGCTCTTCAATGGCGGGTGAGAACGTCCACCACTTGGCGCAGAGGGTGAAGATCTCACCTCGTTTGGAGGGAACCGCTGTTCCCATAAGCTTCTTCCATTTGGTGTTGAACGTGGTGTCTTTGGTCGGATTAGTCGCGCACAGCACGCGGTTGATAGCATGAAGCTGAGCGACCTCGTCAATTACCGACCCACCGTCTACCATCGTCAGCGCAAGTGCACTGTTGAAGGCGAGAGAGCACTCGACCACCTTCTTGGTGAAGTAGTCGGGGTTCGCGGCGTTTGTGAGAATCTTGCACATACCGCCTACCTTGCTGTTCGCGTCTTCAATACAGTCGGGGGTAAGGTTAAGGAGCGCCGTGTTCTCGTCGTTAAGCATGGCCTCGGCCACTTTAGGCAAAAACGATGCCTTAGTGGATTTCTTGATCTTCGTATGATGTTTCTCAACGAAGAAAGCGGACTCGGTAGAGGTCTGCAGTGCATCAGGACGTTTCACGCCCAAAGGTAAAACCTGATGACGAACGCCTAGTGTCGGGTCCTCCGTCAAGTCGGTCGATTCGAACCGGACCTCCATCGTCTGGAGTGCTTGGAAGTAATTGATGGTGGCAATACCATTTAATGAAAGCTGCGATTGCTTCACCAGCATGTTGAAGAAGTCGATCGCGTTGCGAGCGCGTTTTTTTCTGGAGGTCGCAGTCGTGAAGCCGTCATTCGCGCTATTAGTCAGCATAAGCGGAGGTGTCTTCCGAGCTTTTGGGCTCCCGGGAGGAGTGATTTTTCCGTGGGATCCACGAAACGTCGAGACCGACAGAGCGTCCGAGACGCTGGACCAAGGAGATACGAGCTGATCATCCAACAATGGGTTATCATGCTGAGCTCCTTGGTGGAGCTGGCCTCCCCGTTTCTTGGCCGCCTCAACTGCCTTTTTGAGCGAGGTCTTCTAAGGGAACTTCTTAGGAACCGCACCTGCAGGCGAATTCACAGCGTGCGCATACGGCTGCGCTGGTTTCACCAGGTTTTGGCTTGGTGGCGGGGCAGACCCCGGCACCATACACGGAAAGTCGCTAGTTGTCGTACCCAGGTCGAGTCCGTGGTGAGAGCGGTACCCAAATGGCATGCGTTCCGACTGGAACGGGGCGTTGTCCCATGAGCTGGGTGGAGCTTGTTGTCAAACAACACCTGATCGCAGACGCTGCCGTTCACGATCAGCGCACTGGGACAAGAATTCGTCAAGAAGTACACGCGCCAAGTGGCAGACGTGATACCAGTCGCTAGGTTCACCTCACGAAAGGTGTCATAGACGGTCTGACAGCCAAGCAGAAACAGGCTCTGTAGAATCAAGTGGGTGTCTGTGTCCGAGTCCATGTTGGAGATGTCGATGAAGTACTTGCCACCAAGCACATTAAACGCCTTAAACGTGTAGACACCGCCCATAATGTTCACCTTCGTACGCTCGAGACGTAGACAGGCTTCTTTCGACTTCACCTTGATGCGGAGATCACCGCCAGGCAGCTTAGAGATTTGGCCAATCTCATGACTGCGGTAGAGGTCCTCTAGAGATTCATTGCCGTGGTGTGTACCAGAGAGGAACACCGTGATCTTCTGAACAGGAGTCTTTGCGAGCGTCCGACCAGTAGCAATCACCATGTCGTACTTGGCACGAGGAAGAGCATACGGTCTCGCCTGGTCGATACGAGAGCAATGAACGACTAATCACCACCAGCGGCGTATTGGCGCTCGATCGACTCGATGTCACTCACGAGAGGCTTGGGAGTCTCCACCCGACGACGCGCGACATCAGCTTCGGCGTGGTCGCGGCGAAGATTTTCCTGCTGACCAAGCACGTCAGCCATTGTCGGGCGCGGATCAGCGCGCGGAGGCGAAGAGCCGGGTTCGGCGGCAGGAGACGGCTGGTCCATCGGAACGTCATCAGATGATGGCGGGTCGATGGGTGAGATAGAGCCAGAGGGTGGCTCTTCCATGACTTCATCAGTACTACCGTCGGCGGGTGGAGCTGGTGCAGAGTCAGTAGAGACCGCCGTCGGCGATTTCGGAGGGCCCAGAATCGTTGGACGATGAAGGACCGACAGGGGTACCATCTGGAGCGGCTGTCAGAGCTAACGTTTCGAACCAAGAGCACCACGAGGTGTCTGGTCGGGAACGGGGGAAAAGGCGGTCGCTGGATTTTCCATGGGGAAAGACGGGACAAAGGTGTGCAAAGAAGCGGAGAGGGAGAGTTCTTCTGGATTTGACTTGCGTAGTAGCTGGACAATTCAGAAGTGTTCTGTAGCTCAGCCGGGTTGGTATGGCAGTACCATCCCAAAGGTCACTGGTTCGATACCGGTGGGGCGTGCAAACAAAAAAGTTAAGCCTTCGGGATCTGGTGTTTGGGGTTCACCAGCACTGTCCTGCCAGATAGTGACGTCCCCCACTTTCGGTACGTTTGGGTGTTTAGAAACGCACGACCAGAATTAGAAACGTACGACTAGACGATTAGTAATGCGCGATGTGGTGATTACTAATGCGCGACTAGACGATTAGTAATGTGCGATGTGGCGATTACTAATGCGCGACTAGACGATAAGTAATGTGCGATATAGCGATTAGGAACGTATAGTCGAAGAATCAAGTAGGCTTAGAGAAGCAACAGACTTTGCGAACTAAGGACCTAAATATATTCACTTTGCATTATACTTGCTTTGACCAACGACTCTAGGTTATGAGCCCAAGCCCTGCAGACTCTGTCTAAGACCTCGACTACGCTTTCTCCATGGAAGCCATGCTGATCACCACCGCCCGCATCAACAAGTTCGCCGGAACAAACTTTCATACGTGGAAGGTCAAGATGCAGTTGGTGCTGGACGAGCGAGACCTGTGGGATGTCGTGAGTGGGGAGGTGAAGCTTGAGCACTGCGTGTCGATATTGGACCAAGCAACGTTCAAGAGGAAGTCGCGTAAGGCACTAGCGACCATATGCCTCGCAGTGGAGGACTCACAGTTGCTACTGGTGCGCTCGGCGGAGAATGCGTATGATGCTTGGTCGCGTCTGGAAGGACACTACGAGAAGAAGAGCTTGGAATATAAGCTCTTTCTTCGTCGCCGTTTCTTCACGACACTGATGGGAGAAGGTGATGACGTGTTAAAGCACATCAACAAGCTCAAGACCCTGGCGGAGCAACTCGACGCGGTTGGTGCTCCGGTCAGCGAAGACGACTTGGTCATCACTCTTTTGGCCAGTCTCAGCGAGTCCTATCAGTTCCTGATAACGTCGCTGGAGTCAAGATCCGACTCGCTGACTTGGGATTTAGTGACGTCTCGGCTGATGCATGAAGACCTGAAGCGCAAGGAGCAAGGTGGCGGATTTGAAATCGTGCATGGGCAAGCTCAAGCGTTCATGTCAAGAGACAACAAGCGAAACAGGCGACCAGGTAAGAAGACTGGTGCGTGCCACGAGTGTGGGAAACAAGGACATTGGATCGTGGAGTGCCCCTCGCGGATCCAAGAAGACGCGGAACGACATCGATTCCAGCGTGCGAACGTGGCGCAAGATGATAATCTTGGCGACTATCTGTTCTCGGTTGGTGGTGAAGTCGCCAAGTCGAGTAACGTGTGGCTGGTCGACTCGGGTGCGACGCAGCACATGACGAGCTCCAAGAAGTATATAAAGAACTACAAGGTCTTCATTCCGGTCGATGTGCACTTGGCAGACGATGGTGTCGTTCTAGCGATCGGAAAAGGCGACATCGTGATGTCAATGAAGACGCCACGCGGTACCAAGAAAGGTGTGCTCACGGACGTGTGGCATATCCCGATGTTATCGCGTGATCTGTTCTCCGTGGGTAGATTCACCAAGGACGTCGGGCCAGTCACCTTCGAAACCAACGGATGCTTCGCGGAGACGAAAGGTGTCAAGTGGAAGCTCGGTGCTCGCGAAGGCAAAGGGCTTTTCAAACTCTGCATGACGCCAGAAGCGTCTAACGAGGCAAACGTGTCAAGTTCGAATGATTGTAAAAGGGGTACCGGGTCGTATCTCTGGCATCTTCGGCTTGGTCACATCGGCCACGGAGGACTTGACGCCATCGTCAAGAAAGGTTATGGAACCAGCATTGACTTGGCCTCGGTGAACAAATGGGAGACTTGCAGCGGGTGTGCACTCGGCAAGCAAACACTAGTGAGCTATATGTCGAAGTCTCCTGAACAAGCAAAGGAGTTGCTGGAGGTCATTCACAGTGATGTGTGTGGACCCACGCCAACCCGTACCTACAGTGGCAGACGTTATTTTGTTACATTTATCGACGAATACTCACACAACTGTATGGTATTTCTACTCAAGAACAAGTCTGAAGTGGCGACCAGATTTGCAGAATTCGTCGCGTGGGCGGAAACCCGGACTGGAAAGCGCGTGAAGCATCTTCGTAGTGACAATGATGGCGAATACACCTCCGGTGCGATGTCCAAGCTGTGTGTATACCGTGGCATTGTGCAGAAATTTACGCCGCCGTACACTCCTCAACTGAACGGTGTTGCCGAAAGGATGAATCGGACATTGGTGGAAAGCGTTCGCTGCATGATGGAACATGCTGGGCTAGCAAAATCGTAATGCGGAGAAGCAGTCATGACTGCCAACTTCTTGCGCAATCGCTGCCCAACCCGTGCTACACGTCATGACAAGTCCCACCACATCAAGCTTGGACCGGAAAGAAACCTTTGCTTGCGAATTTAAAGTTGTTCGGGTGTCATGCATACGTGCATGTTCCAAAGGAAAAACTGTCCAAGCTCGACGCTCGATAAATACACTGTCGGTTCATGGGATATGCAGATCATCAGAAAGCAAATCGATTCGAAGAGATCAAGAGTTGTCGTGTGCTGGTCAGCCGCGACGCACAGTTTATGGAAGACGTCTTCGACAGTGGAAGACGCGACTACGTTCAAGCCGAAGTAGTTTTAGAAGATGAAGAAGGTTCAACGGATGAAGACTCATCGTGTTCCAACAAAGAAAAAGAAGAAACGTTCAGGATAAGGACGCCGAACCTGGAAGCAAGCGACATCAACGCACACGATCACTGGAAGAAGCGGTCGATATTCTAAGGGCAAAAGACTAAGTCCGGATCAAGTTTGGTCGAGACATCTGCGGTGGCTCAAGAACGTCACGACTTTGAGGCTGCCTACGTCATGGATTCAGAGGGAGAATCGCCAATGACGTTTAAATCGGCGATGGAATCCAGTGACGCAGTCAAGTGGAAAGAAGCGTGCGACTCAGAAATGAAATATCTTTGCAAAACCAAGACCTGGGACCTCGTACCACTACCAAAAGGCCGTAAAGCAATCGGTAATCGATGGGTCTTTCGAGTCAAGGAGAATCAGGCCGGGGAAGTCGAGCGATTCAAAGCGCGCTTAGTGGCCAAAGGTTTTTCTCAGAAGCGTGGTATTGACTACGATGAGACCTTTGCGCCCGTGGCCAAGTTCACGTCAATCAGAATTTTGTTGAGCCTGGCAGCCAAGTATAGCTTGTCGGTACACCAAATGGATGTCAAGACGGCGTTTCTCAATGGACTCCTGGACGAAGACATTTACATAGTGCAACCAGACGGTCACGTCGATGAATTTCACCCGGACTTTGTTTGTCATCTTAAGCGCTCCCTGTAAGGTCTGAAGCAGTCACCACGGATGTGGAACCAAACCATCGACAAGTTTATGCTGGAACTGGATTTTAAGAAATGTGAAACGGATCACTGTATCTATGTCAATCGAGCCGATTACGACATGATTTTCGTGGCACTATACGTCGACGATTTGGTTCTCGCGAGCAACAACGACGAGCTTCTCAAGTTAACAAAGAAGGCGCTGGGTGATCGTTTTGACATGACGGATCTGGAAAACCTCAAGTATTTTCTCGGTACGGAAGTTGATCAAGATGTCACGGTCGGCACAATCTCGATTCATCAGTCCAAATTCGCGAAGGATATCCTCGAGAAATTTGGCATGGAACATAGCAATCCAGTTAAGACTCCACGAGAACCCGGGCTAAAGCTGACAAGGTCCATGTGCGAAGGAGGATGCAAGCACGGAGACACGATGGCAAACGTTCCATATCGCAATGCTGTTGAATGCCTGATGTACCTCATGGTAGGGACTCGCCTGGATCTCGCAGCTGCAGTGGGAGTGCTCATCCAGTTTGCAGCGGACCCTTGTCCGACACATTGGCAAGCACTCAAGCGCGTGTTCAGGTACGTCCAAGGCACACAAACCCATGGGATTGAATTTCAAGCCACAAGCAATGACAAGCTTCCAGGCTACTCAGATGCAGACTGGGCTGGTGATGTGGAAACTCGACGAAGCACAAGTGGATACGCGCTCCTGATGAACAATGGGTGTATCATCTGGAGAAGCAAGAAACAGCGTACAGTGGCTCTATCGTCTACGGAGCTGCGGGCTCTCAACCCTCGCCATATGTTAACGATGCTAACCTTCGTCTTTACGAGTGCGCGCGAAAGCGGTGCCGTCTTCGAAAGGACGGGTTTTAGCGCAGGATGACGCCAATTGAGGTGGAAACTCTTGAGGCTTGGCTTGGAGGCCATCTACAGCTTGCTGGAGCGCCTCTATTCCTCAGGGAGACACATGTGGCGGCCGAGCGAGAGGCTTTTGCTGTCCACCAGCGCTCTCGCCTTGTGCACAAGCTTTATGCTCGCCTTCCGGTCGGCCTTTTCCTTCCTGATCTAGGCGCGCGGGGTAAATTATTTAGCCTGATGCTTGCAGCTGCTGTGACTCCAGCGGCAAAGACTCGTGTCAACTCGCTCATCATGGAGCTTTCGCGCGTTGAGTGTTCGAGCCTGTCACCTATTGTGGCTTTCGTCTTCAACGATCGCCCTACGCGAGATTCATGGGCGAAGGCGGACCTTCGGGTGGGTAATTGTCGGCTCCAACTTCTCGTAGCTGATGACCCAGCTACGGTGGACGACAAGATTGGCTATACGGACATTACGACTTCAATGCTCTATCAGGTGCATGTGCTCGGCAAGAGCTCGGCATTTCCGAGCGAGATCCGATCATGGGTTGCAGCCGCGACGTCGACACCCGTGCTCACTGTCGAGTCGCGGGAGGCCGATGGTGCCCATTTCTTCGGCGCGCATCGCTGGGTCGTCACTTTTGATTCCATGGAATGCCCTAAAGAACTGGACCGGAAGCACAGGATTTTAGTGACGACCGGCGATAAGAGTATCGAGGCGGTACTCATGCACCCGCGGAAGAGTACCCGCGAGCCGTGCCAGCGGTGTCTCAGCGTTCGACATTTCCGTAAGGACTGTGCGGCTGTGGATCCCGAGAGTACATGTGCAAGCTATACTCTATCTGCAACGGCCTCGGTAACATCCCATACGTCATTGACTACTCACGCGGATGGATGGATCAAGGCAACTGAAATTCTACGTCAAAAGGTGGCGCCTGGGCTTGGCGACAAACTTCGCCGAGCTTCCATGGTGGAGGGGGCACCTAAGCGGCAAAAAACAGTCATTCACAAGAGAGAAGTGGCAGCGCGAGTGGAGGCTAAGGCTGCGGTGACAGCTGAACTACTTGCTATTCGTCGTTCAAAGCTGAAAGCGGCTACGAATCATTACGCGAAGGTTAAGAAGGCTGCTGCTATGGCTGCGGCTGCTCGTGCGGCAGCGGTTCAACAGTTTGAAGGCTCGTGTCCCGTCGCAAGGTCTGCGAGTCGTGAGTGGCAGCTGACTCGCTGCCGACGTCGGTGCCTCAACCGGTATCGGGTCAGCACGGAAGCTTAAAAAGTTGTGAAGTGGCCCCTGCTGCAGTACCAGCTGCTCCTGGAGCATCTTCTGAAGGAGCGACGTCCACGGTTGTCAATGAAAATGATAGCGATGCAGGCGACATGGCCACTGCTGATTTACCCGCTCTTTTCGTGGTTGGCGAGCACGCTGTGTCGACGGTATTCGAGGTACCACCTTCGACAGCGGTTGATGGGCAAGATCGGACGGAGGTGGACCATTCTTCTGGTGGTCCATCACCGTCGTCGCTTGCCGCCACTATGGATATCGATGAGCTTGAGGCATCGGTGCCTCCCTCTACCGCCTCTCCGAATGTCTGGAGGACACGTTGTTGCACAGATGGCCCCGACACGACTGCGATCAATTCTCACATGGCCTCCCCTCTCCCTCCTGGTTTGGAAGCAGTGCTTGCAGCGCAGGACACTGATTCAATTTTACCCATAGACAGTCAGGATCGTGTCATGGCTGGTCCGCTGCCGGCCATTCCACGTACTCAATCACCTTCACCGGATGCCGTGGAAGCGTGGAACGCGGTCGCTGCGGTTCAACGCGAGGCGAATGATCATGCCGCTACGCTTGCGTCCTCTCGTAGGCACAAAGCACGGGTGATGCCCGCACCGAGGTTGGGCTGCCCACAACCAGTTGCATCCGGTATGGTCGTTGAAGTTGCTAAGTTACTGCAGCCGACATCACCCTGCGTGCGGCTGACGAGTGAGGAGGTTTCAGAGTGCATTTGCCAAAAAAGACAGAACGGCATCACTATCGTGACGTGGAGGCGACGGACATCGTCGACACCAGTACTACCAGCGAACGGTGAAAAATTTTCGATCTGGATTGATTAATATTCCTCTCAGTTGGTATCACTGATCACTTCGCTACCGTACCCACTCATGGGGCTTTACACATGGGGACGATCAGAGCTGTTTAAATTTGGTCAACCCATTTGCTGCAATTCTCAGCTTGCGCTGATCGACCATCATTCGATGGACCAGAACTTAGAAGTTCGTCTCCGCTCTATGTGTCAGCGGCGTGCTATCGCAATTCGCTCTCTGGGAAAAATTGCTTGCCGCTGGAAATTAACAAATTCAGAGGAGTGGTGGAGAGAAGTGGAGTGTTTCGACAGCGATTTACTTACGGGTGTCACAGCACCTGCCCTGGAAGACCCACTCAGCTCTATTCTTTCCCTGCTGAGTATTCTCTGTCCCAGTAGATTTCCAAAGCAGCCGGACTGTGGCCTGGTGCTCCCCGACACGTGTGCACGGGTGTACGAGCACGATAACGAGATCAGGAAGGTCGCTGACACCGTGATTCAGTCTGGATCGCTGGTCGATGTGCTTGGCATCTGTGAAATTGGGCGCGGCACAGCCGTGCGTCGTTCCTAAGGGCTTCTCGGTGTCAGGACGAGCGTGCTCACAGCTTGCTCGAAAAAAACGCGTGACACGCAGACGCGGGTCAGCCCATGATCTGTCATGTGGTCTTCTTACACAAAATGTTATGGGTCTGGGAGCCAAAAACGAACGGCAAAGTCGCTGGTTTGCGCATTTTCGTCAAACTGTGCAAGATGGCATGCTGGACATCACGTGCCTTCAGGAGACTAGGGTGCCTGTGAATGGTACGGCAGCGGCGACGGAGCTGCATCTTCTATCTTGGGGCTTTGTCGCTGATGGTGAAAATCAGTTCTCGCTATGGAGTCCGAGCGTGGGACGTTCCGGCGGTCTCGCTATTCTTTTACGCCCGTACAGTCGGATATCTTCACTGCACGCATTCCAGATGGAGCACTGGACCGCTCACTGGATGGCTGCGACTGCAATTCTGGATGATCGAGAGTTTACGATTATTAATGTGTACGCGCCCGTGCTGAGGTCCGAGCTGGAGAAGCTGTTTCAATCGCTCGAACACGTGGTATCCAGTGTCGATAGTCCGGTGTTTCTTTGCGGCAATTTCAATTGCACGCTTTTAGATTCTCGCGATCGGTCTTACGCTTCTCGCTGGAAATCAGTTCTCGCTATGGAGTCCGAGCGTGGGACGGTCCGGCGGTCTCGCTATTCTTTTACGCCCGTACAGTCGGATATCTTCACTGCAGGCATTCCAGATGGAGCACTGGACCGCTCACTGGATGGCTGCGACTGCAATTCTGGATGACCGAGAGTTTACGATTATTAATGTGTACGCGCCCGTGCTGAGGTCCGAGCGGGAGAAGCTGTTTCAATCGCTCGAACACGTGGTATCCAGTGTCGATAGTCCGGTGTTTCTTTGCGGCAATTTCAATTGCACGCTTTTAGATTCTCGCGATCGGTCTTACACTTCTCGCTGGAAATCAGTTCTCGCTATGGAGTCCGAGCGTGGGACGGTCCGGCGGTCTCGCTATTCTTTTACGCCCGTACAGTCGGATATCTTCACTGCAGGCATTCCAGATGGAGCACTGGACCGCTCACTGGATGGCTGCGACTGCAATTCTGGATGATCGAGAGTTTACGATTATTAATGTGTACGCGCCCGTGCTGAGGTCCGAGCGGGAGAAGCTGTTTCAATCGCTCGAACACGTGGTATCCAGTGTCGATAGTCCGGTGTTTCTTTGCGGCAATTTCAATCCGGCACTGCGCCGCCTTCTGGATTGCGGCGGCTTAACTGATGTTTTGGATGACGACATCGACGACCACGATTCGGACATTGATTGGCGAGTCAAACATCACACGTATTTCTATACGATGCCGGGTGGGCGTGAGGCAAGCTGTCGACTTGACCGGTGGTACTGCTCGGCCGTCGACGGAGAATGGGTACGCGCAATCGGCACGTCTATTCCTGGTCCTTTCTCCGATCGCAACGGTGTTTCAATACGTGCGGCAGTTCCTGGACGGACTGTGCAGGTGAAGTCGCGAAGGCAGTTGTACCCGCCGCCTAGGTACGCTGTGCGAGAGTACGAGTTGGTGACGACGGACTTTTTCCAACGTGCATCCGGGACCCTTGAAGGCGTCATCGCAACAGCAGACACCGTTACGGAACAAGCCCGGGCAACGGCCATATGGTGGGATGATGAAAAAGCTGGACTGCGACAGAGATACTCCGATGCGGCCAAGGATGCTCGCCGAAAATCTACGACCGGCTACCGACAGCGCCTAAAGCGGCTTACCGCTTGTCTGGCGACCGCGATCCGAGAAACCCCTGGTCCGGGTGCTGATCCGTCTCAATCGGTCATCCAAGCCCGACGTGCGGTAGTAGATTGCAAGGCCAAGTGGCAGAAGATGAAACGTCGATCGCTTTTTCGGTCCCATGCACACCATCCGGCACGGTCACAAAACAAATTCTACCGCAGAGTGTCGACCAAGTTTGTCGATAATACGGTGTACAGCCTATGGGGTCCTACTGGCCTCGGCCATCATCGGGCACGTGATCTTGCACAGGATATGCGTGAGGGCTGGCGCGCCATCATGCAACAAACGCCTCCCGATGAAGCGATCGTCACTGATTTCCTCGACTCGCTTCCTCCGCGGGACCATGGTCCCGACCTTTCGGTTCTCAGCGACGAATTAACAGCAGCTGAGGTGCTAACATCTATTCGTCGCTGCAAAAGGGGTAAGGCGTGGGGACCGGATTCGCTTGGTAACGACTGGTACCGCGACAATGAGGCATACCTTGTACCTCTACTGACAAGGGTATTTAACGTGTGCGCACTTGGCGGCATCTTGCCGGGCACGTTCGGTCAAGCTGTAGTGGCGTGCATAAAGAAGTCGAGGAGTGCGGTATCACCACTTGACTATCGACCGATATCTCTGTTAAACTCGGACTACAAAGTCTTCACACGGATTTATGCGTCCCGCCTCAGACCGCTGCTACCAACTCTAGTAAATCCTCTCCAAACTGGTTTTGTACCTCGAAGAGAGATGGCGACGGTACTTGATATCTTCGCTGCTGCTAAATTGTGTGCAAGTAATGATTCCGAATTGCACCGCTCGCTCGTGTTGCTGTTGGATTTCTCAAAGGCGTATGATTCGCTTTCACGCAATTTTCTTCTCGCCGTGATGAGCCGACTCGGCTTCCCGGCATCGTTTGTTCATCTCACCTCGGCTCTTCACACGGGTACAAGAAGCCAATTCATCGTAAACGGCTACATGTCCGATCCTCTTGATGTCGGGTGTGGTATACGCCAGGGTTGCCCGCTGGCACCCTTGCTTTTTATCATTGCGGTGGAACCTCTTTACGAGATACTACATAGCACGGTGAAGATTGTTCGGATCGCAAACACGTCGGAGACACTGGAGATCAAGGTATGCGGGTACGCAGATGATACTGCTGTGTACGTTCAGTCCCCGGAGGAAGTGTCTGTGGTCATGCGGACTCTAATGCGATTTGGGACGGCTTCTGGGCTGGTCATTGATGCTTCGAAGTCTGTGGCGGTTCCTCTGTGTGCCGGTGTGAGCATTGACCCCACACTTTTGCACGGTGTTAAGCTGTTACAGGCGGTCGAGAGGTGCAGGTATCTTGGCGTTTTAATTGGGGATGGACGGACGGTTCGGGACAACTGGAGTGCATGACTAGTCTCACTCAATGCTCGGCTTGTGCTAGCCAGACGAAAGACAAACACGGTCAGGAGCCGAGCTCTATTAGCCTCGGCTTTAATCATTCCCAGGGTCACGTTTCTCGCGAGACACTCGTGGCCTACCCGTGAGGTTATCGACTCGTTACAGCTTTTGGTTAAGCGTTTTGTTTGAAGATCGCGACAAGGTGTGCCATCTCGAGCGTGGATGATTGAAGCACAGGCCGGTTTACGTGTGTGTGATGGGGGGATTGCTATCCCACATGTAGCAACGGAGCTGCTTGCTATGGCGGCCAATGCGGTCGGTAAATGGGCATCTTTTTCGAATGGGCCAGCTCGAGTCGCGGGTGACATATTGCTGGCAAGGAGAGCTGGAGTTGATGTGTACCTTACTCCGGATAAGCCATGCACAACCCCTAAGTGTTTTACGGTCTCCGACACCATGTGGGCCAGCGGAGCAGCTGTGGTTCGTGGTGTGCATAGCGTCCCTATTGATTTGTCTAAGGCTGGATGTGTTGCAGCAACTGAGTCTCTCTTGCGTCGGCATATTTCAGCTGCCTACTGGGAGGGCGATACGTTAACATTTCGTATCGATACTGCCACGGTACAAGCCATTGCAAGTAAAGCGGTCGGCGAGCAGTGCATACGTGGAACTTTCTGCCACGAGTGGCTAGGTCGGGTGGGACTCGATACGAGGCAATGGTTGATCAATGGACGGGGAGAGGACGTCAATATACCTCTCCTGCGGCGTGAAGAACAGTGGCAAACGCTTCGTGATCTCCTGACTTGGATATGGCACGGGGATGGAACCATCAAGTTCGAGCTTCAGCGTTCACGGTCACCGGCAATTCGGCGTGCGGTCTCGGTCCTGTGCAAGGCGATTGTGTGCAATTATCCCACGCTTTTCCTTCAACCGCGCTCACCATCGCTCTTGAGACCGATTGATGCTAGCACGTCGTCGAATCTTTCGTGGCGCCTTTCTGAAAATGCAAAGAGCATTGTCTTCTCGAATAACACGATCGTGTATACATCAGTCCCAGTCCAGTCGCGGTACGACTGTGAACTCCGAGCCCGTGCGTGCAGACATCAATAAGCGGGACTTCCGCTTTCATGATCATCTTGCATTGTCGCGACTTGTGCAGCTTCACACTGGGGCTAATTGGCGTTTTAATCGGGCGCGGTACAAGGAGGCTGTGTCCGGGCAGCGTGTGGCACAGGGGACTGTGGAGAGAGATCGGGCAATCGCTGTTCAAGCTACAAATAATAAGGACCTGCATGATGCACTATCCCAGCTGGGATGGCGTGACATTCGGGCAGTGAAGGGAGCTGGGGCTTCTACGGTCCAGACACTTTTTCGATTGAAGGCCAACAAGCTGAATTTATGGAACTATGTGCACAGTGACCGTTCTTGTCCACATGGCGAGTGTCCCCGAGACGTACCTATTAGCCTTCAACACGTCTTCTGAGAGTGCCCTATTGCGAAGGCAGCATGGAAAGACTTTGACATTCGATGGAGGCGTCTCGGCGACAACGTGCCTGCTAACCTTATTGAATCGTGCTTCAGTTTGGACCCAGACGATACGCCGACACGTGCGTGGCGAACGGTATGTGATCATGTTCGTGCTGCAGGCACCGAGCATCGTGATGATTTGTACGAGGTTTCCAGGGATTTGTGTAGGCTGACGGTGGCGGCGACAATTCAAGCCATCTGGTGTGCGCGACTTCGTCTCCGCCACGAGCCAGATGCGCTTCAATCGACATTGCGGGCGGTAATTTGCGTTACAGTAGACAATGCCTTGCGCGATTTGGTTTCATTGAGTTATAATTCGACACGGATATTTCAAAACTTCCGAAGAATGCCGCTACCAGGGCGCTGGCTGATCGTCTCAAGGGGACGATTGACGGGACGATTCTCTCGCCACCGATTCGAGACCGGAGCGCCTATGTGCTTTTTTTATGGCGGCTCGCGTGGTAATCCCGGTCCAGGCGGATCCGGTTCGGTCATGGTCTGTGTTGATCTGGACACGCGAGCATCAGAGATTACCTGGGCGGCGAGCATGTCATATGCGCATAACAGCACAACCAACAACATGGCGGAATATTGGGGGCTTATTCATGGCCTCCGTCACGCTGAAACTAGACATCTCACACCATTGTACGTGGTCGGTGACAGCTCTTTAATTATCCAGCAAATGCGGCGGCATCGGCCTCCGCGTCAACCCCGACTCCGACAACTTTATCTCAAGGCGAGAAGATGTGCGGATAGCCTAGGAATCTGCGGGTGGTCTCATCACTACCGCGCGAACAACAAAATGGCAGACTTGGCTGCGAATATTGCGATGGACTCCAAAACGTCACAGCAAACGTGCGCTACTGACAATCGACCACTGATTGCAAGAGTGCAACGGTTTCTCCGCACTGACGTGCACGAGTGGCAGGCATTTCCTCCAACACATACCCCGGTCCAAGTATTTCTGCTCTTTCGGCGGTTGCTTCCTACGGTCGGAGGGTAGCTGTATAGCCCCTGTTTTTTTTTCATAGCTTGGCGGTGTAAACCCCCATCCTAGCCATTAGAGATCTTATAAGTACCTCAATGAAGCTCACTCACTCACTCTATCGTCTACGGAAGCCGAGTACATGGCGTTGACAGAAGCCACACAAGAAGCAATATGGCTCAAGGCATTTTTGTGTGAGATTGGTGAAATGAAGAACGACGAAGCTGTCAAGATCTATGAAGATAACCAAGGTTTCATTGCGCAGGCCAAGAACCCCGAGTTCCATAAAAGAACGAAGCATATCGACATCCGGTATCACTTCGTGCTCGGGAAGGTGTCAGACGGCCAAGTGTTGCTACAGTACTGCGCTACGAAGAACATGAAAGCAGACCTCATGCCGAAGCCGATCCTCGCTGCGCATTTTAGATATCTTCGGGGCATGCTGGGGATCAAGACGCCACGGTCTGACGAGGCGAGTGGGAGTGTTGTAAATGATACGCCTCGGTTTCATAAAAGTGTTCTGTAGCTCAGCCGGTTTGGTATGGCAGTACCATCCCAAAGGTCACTGGTTCGATACCGGTGGGGCGTGCAAACGAAAAAAGTTAAGCCTTCGGGATCTGGTGTTTGGGGTTCACCAGCACTGTCCTGCCAGATAGTGACGTCCCCCACTTTCGGTACGTTTGGGTGTTTAGAAACGCACGACCAGAATTAGAAACGTACGACTAGACGATTAGTAATGCGCGATGTGGTGATTACTAATGCGCGAATAGACGATTAGTAATGTGCGATGTGGCGATTACTAATGCGCGACTAGACGATAAGTAATGTGCGATATAGCGATTAGGAACGTATAGTCGAAGAATCAAGTAGGCTTAGAGAAGCAACAGACTTTGCGAACTAAGGACCTAAATATATTCACTTTGCATTTTACTTGCTTTGACCAACGACTCTAAGGACCCCACGCACCCGCACTTCTCCTCCTGGATGCCCTCGTTGGAATACGATACCTTGTCCGGGTTTTGCGTCATCTTCACCTCGCGGACGTCGGTGGGCCATGGGACCGGCTGTCCTTGTGGCGTATTCTCGATCAGTCATTGCCTCGTCATTGTGACGGCCTCTTCTTCGTCCTCCGCGTCTTGGGCGAGGTCAATCACCTCGCTTGGCTCTTCCTCGTCGTCGCCTTCACCGTCGTCCCAGCCGCCGTCGTAGTCCAGTACCGCGTAGTCCTTCTCTTCGTCGTATTGGCGGCTAGCCTCGTCCACCGCGGCGCGTTTCTTCGTGACGGCCGCTATGACGCTACACCCGCTCAACTCCGTCTTCTTCCAGAGGTGCTTCTTCTTCCGCGTCCGTGTGATTCCGTGCCGATCTTTGGCCTTCTTGGCCCGCTTCGCGTGAACAGTCCTCTGTTCCAGCCCGCGCTGATCGTGGTACCCCTCGCGGTTGCTCTTCAGGCGGCCAAAATTACGGCGCCATCTTTATAGCAGGCACGATCGCGCGTGGACGGCTGCGCTGATTTCAGCGCCGCTCGCGAAGGCCGCCCGCTCCGGCACTGGTGGTACCTTGTCGCTTGGGGGCGGCCACGTCTCCGGCGTGTAGCTGATGTCGTCCATGCCTTTTGTCGAACGGTCGGCTGTCTCTCCCTTGGCTCTATTTGCTGTCCCGGGTTCTTAGCTGTCGTCCACTCGTTTCGGCTTCTCTCGTCCGTTCGTTTTCCGGCCTCCTAGTGGTTGCTCGGCTTTTCTCCTGTTCACCTTATTCTAGGATCTTTTTCCTATTCTTTTCTACTTCTACCTAACCTAGCATAATGAACATTTTTTCACCAGACTTACGCTCCCCTCGTGGGGGTCCCGACCCCGTAGTGTCTCATCAGATCGAGTTCCGAGCTTCCTTTGTGACAATTGCGGGGTGTACGACCTGCCTACATCCTATTTCCACCTCGCTCAGGTGCGGAATTGTTCTACAATAGCGTGTGTGTGGCAATTGGGGTCAATACGTTACGACGACAGCCTTCTTTGGATCTGGTTTATTACATTTTACGGACTGCAACGCCCGCTTCTGGTACTCCAGCTTTTTTCCTCCACCATTTTTGACGTCCTGGACCCTATCACCGTCTTCCTCCTACTCATCTTCGCTGGCAGCTAGACGCGGTTCCTGTTTGATCCCAAGCAGGTTCAAGGCCGCAAAATTTTCCTTGTTATGGGCTGGGCACTGGCATTGGAACCACAACGCTTGGCCGGTATGACCGGTGTGGTCTGCCGTTATCTCCTCCCCTGTCCGGATCGCCCTGTAAGAGTTCATCGAGATGACGATCCGGCGGCGCCCTCGCACCTTCATGTACTCCGTAAGGGGGATACACGCGTGCGCAATGATTCGGGCCATCCCTCCTCCCTGTTCCGCGCTGACAAAGACCTGTCGACCGCTGGCGTACTTCTCGTTCAGCTTGAAAGTGTATGCGGCGTCTGGCTCGGGTGCGAGTACATACGTACCCCAATACTGGCACACGACGGCCCCTGCGGTGATTGGCCTGGCGGCGAAAAAACCGAGTCCTTGCCGCGTTACTCGCAGGTGCAACTGGCACGTGCGAAACCGGTTGTTGCATTTCTTTGCCCCAAGGGAGCAAGTGTCTTCCTCGCACACTTGTTACTCGGCGGCGTTGGCACACGCGTCGATTTTGCACTTGTCGACGAACCCGCATATCTCCTCTCGTGCACCTTCTTTCTCAAACGATATGCCGTGTAAGTTCATCATATTCGTCACCTTCTCGACATCCCTTGGCAACAGAACTTGCTGGCCTTGCGGCACATTGTCGATCAGCCATTGTCTTGTCCCTGTGGTGGCTTTTTCGTCGTCACTCAATTGAGCCAGGTCGACGACCTCGCCAAGATCTTCCTCGCCGGGTCCTTCTCGCCGTCCCACTCGATATCCGCCTGCGCCGCTGCCTTATCTTCGACTTCTTCGTGGATCTCGCCGCCAGTCTCTTCCTCGGTTAAGCGGATGGCTATGGCTTCCCCGATGATGCTACAGCCGCTCATCTCCATTTTTCTCTTGTAATTCTTCTTCCGGGTCACCCGCTGCAGGCCAAGGTAATTCTTGGCTCGTTTCGCGCGTTTCTTGTGCTCGCTTCGCTTTTTGAGCCCTTACGAGTCCGTGTACCCGTTCCGGTCGCGCTCCAACCTTCCGTGGTTTCTGCGCCACCTCCACAGGAGGCACGATCCCGCACTCACAGCTGCACCGTACTCGTCTACAGTCGCATAGTCCTCGCGCTTTTGCATTGTAGGCATCGTGTCGCTGGATAGAGGCCACGTGGGCGGGTATTAGTTCTTGTCCATGGCTTGATCCAGATTGGGCTGTTTATGCCGTTAGACGTTGCCGCGGCCGCTGACTGGTTGGTCCTCCTGCCCTTGAGTCCGTCCTTGGCAGCCATCTGTTTTGCGCCTCTTGATTGGTTGACCTATTTCGATTTTTGCCTACTCTATTTTAGGACACTTTCCCACTTACTCTACACTAGCATAATGGAATTTTTTCCACCAGACTTACGCTTCCCACCGTGGTGGTCCTTTGCGTGTCTTCCTCTTTTCGCAATCGCGGCGCGTGTATCGAACTCCAGCTGATCCTCTCGTGGATTCTTCTCGCGCTCGGCTCGGAGTTGCGCTCACCGCTTGCGTTTCTGAACCAGACGGTACTGGTTGCTGGCTTTGTTAAATTCGACGCTGCTCGAATAATCTTCTATCCGTGGCGCCAGCCCACGGTCTCTGCCTTCGCCGGCGCTTCAATGCTGTGCGTCGGGGGACGTCGCCAGCGCTGCCAACATCTCTAACCACTGATTCACGCTCCCTTCGTTGTCGTCCATCTTGGTCTTGCTCTATCGGTATTTCTCTCTTTCGTCCCGGTTTTCTTCGCTCGAGTTTGGATTGGTTGATTCTCGTGTCTCTCTGATATTCTTGGACACGTCCTCCGTTCAACTTACGTTTATTACTTTCCTTAGGTTCTCCTCCTATAGCCTTTTTCAGCACTAGCTTACGTGGGACCTTTGTTCCTAAAACCAGTATGATGAAAAAATTTCAACCAGACTAACGCTCCTCAGCTCGCAGGATCCGACGCATCCACATTTCTCCTCCCGGATCCCCTCGTTGGGGAACGAGATTTTGACCGGGTTCCGCATTTTTTTTACTTCCAGCACGTCCGTTGGCCACGGTACTGGCTGCCCTTGGGGTACGTTCTCGATCAGTCATTGCCTGATCCCCGTGATGGCTTCTTCGTCCTACTTTGTGGCATGGGTCAGGTCTACCACTTCGCCGAGCTCTTCTTCGCCGTCCCCGCCCACGTCGTAGCAATCGAAGCCGTCGTCGGGCTCGGCTTCAATCCTCTCTATGCCTGCTTGAAGGCTGGCGATGTCCACTGGGGGCGTTACTCTGTGACTGCAGCGATGATGCTGCAGCCGATCAGTTTTGCCTTCTTCAGAGGATGCTTTTTCCTGATCTTCCGCTGGATAATGAGGCGGCTCTTGGCTTTCTTCACCCTCTTCTCGTGATGGGATCGCTTCTCTAAGCCTCGGCTGTCCGGATACCCCTCACGGTCACGTACCAACCGCCCGTAATTTCGGCGCCATCTCCTCAGCAGGCACGAGAGTGCATGCACGGCTGCGCTGAAATCCACGCCGCTAGCAAAGGCCGCCTGAGCCGGCATCGCCGGCACCTTGTCGTCTGGGGATGGCCAGGACTCTGGTATGTACTTCTCGTCCATCGGGTTTTTCGTCGACTGCCGGTCAGCTCACATTTTGGTCCTCTTTGCTGTTACGAATGGTTGGATGTCGTTCGCTTGACCCTGCCCTTCTCATCCAATCTTTTTCTTCTTCCTACAATTGGTCGACCTTACTCTACCCTATAATTTTTCCTAATGTAGGCTATTTTCTATTTTACCTATCCTGGTGTAACGATTTTTACCAGACTAAAGCTCCCAAGCTCGAGTTGGCTTCCCAGTGCACAAGTGTTGTACACATTGAACCTGCTGATTCATCGCTACAACCCCTCGACGCCCCGTCTTTCCTACCGGACGTCTCCTCTCCCGCTTTTTCGGTCCTGTCTTTACGTGAGTAATAGCGTCCGTCTAGATTCGGCACCACGATCCTGGCCTCACTTCTACATCTTCGCCACGTCGTCGCCGTTTCATCATCTCCCGCCATGCCATCTGGAAAGACTCCCCGCTTACCAGCTGGCTCGACTAACGTCCCGGCGGTCAACTCGAATGATCGTTGACCCAGCCGGTCCTCTCTCTCCCGCTAATCCAGGGGGTTGCTCTGGACGTAAAGCTTCCTCTGCTGCACCATCTGCGCGACACGTTGGTCGCTATGTCCCCGCGGACTCCCTCTTCCAGGCATTGGAAGAGGCAGCTGTCAATCAGGTCCCGGCAGCGGACTGTCGTGCTATCACGATGCGCGATGTGCAACGCGCGGGGGTTGTTGTCTCCAAAAACATATGCTCTTCATACCTTGTGGGGTGGATGCGGCTTCATCGCAACTGGACTAGATCATGTTGTCCATCCATCTGAAGAATCAGACCTCTCTTTGGAAGGACTCTCTTTCCACGCTATGCGACTTCATCCGCATCCCACCGAAAGGCAATCGTTTCACCTGAACGTCGCGAGACATCGAGGTGAAACTTGGTGGCTCGATGGTGCGTATCTTTCGCGGCACTCACCTCATCAAGAACTCCAACCTTAACGAGCGCTTATACGTGCTCAACCTCACCCGCATCCCCTCCAACCTCGACGATGGCGTCATCTTCGACTACTTTTCCAATATGGGCCTACACGTGCTCATCACTGCGACCAACCTGGTTGGTGGCATGGTCTCGCGCGGCCACACCGTTTGGTCCACCACTCTGGACTGCTTTGCGGCCCTCCTACTGCCGGATGGATCTGCCATCCAAAAATCTTCTCTGACGATTTTGAAGACTCTGTATTTGTCCAGCACAAACAGCGCTCTCTCAATACGAAGCCTCCATCACTGGTTCTTCGCGACACGGCGCGCAGGGAGGCAACTCGGGCTCGTCGAGCGGAGGCTGAATTGCAACGGGCTCTCGTCAGCGAGGGACAGTCTGGTCAGACAACTTCGTCTACGTTTCTGGTCTTAGATACAACGGTGGTACCGACTGACCTATCTATTGCTCCTGACTAGGCTCGTGCGGTGGAGTGGCGATCGCTCATTTTATGAGTCGATCCCAACTCTCCACTGGCGCCCTTGACGACCAACTAACAGAGGGGGTACTCCGATTCCGTGTGTGTTGCATTCCCCACCTTGTGTACCCGTCGGTAGGGAGGGTTGTACTCTTCCAGGTAGACTCGTGTAGAAAGAGAACTTGGCCGTGTTGGGGATGGGGTTGTGATCGTGCGGAAATTTTTACGCGATCACGGGGTACTTGTGGATAATGATATAAGTTACCCTGATCTCAACGAGATTGCCTTGTCCACTATGTGGTTGCTTGATCCGCGAGCCTTCTGACCACTTGAGCCGTCTCGCGATCTTGCGCCTTGCCTTTACGTGTCTTGCTGCGTCCGATCGCAGTTGATGTTGCTTAAGAGTTCTTGAACACACCTGGCCACAACAATTCAGGTGTAATGCTTGCGTAGACGTGTAGCACGACTCTTTATCCGACGGGGGGCCAAATATCCTACCCGGAAGAGATAACGTGTGCCTTGTGAAGTAAATTGGCATCTGTCTAATGTCAACCAACCAACCTAAACCCTACCCCTATGCCTATTCGCATATCCTAACCAGATGCCACGCGTCGCCTTTCCAGGAAGATCGTCCCCCCGTATTTGTGTGGTCCACACCAGTTATGTCAGCAGTTGTATCTTCTTGTGGCCCACCCAAGATATCCCCATGATCCTATTAGCGGATCGTGATCCTACTAGCGAATCGTGATCTTACTAGCGGGTCGTGATCCTACTAGCGGATCGTGATCCTACTAGCGGATCGTGATCCTACTAGTGGATCGTGATCCTAATAGTGGATCGTGATCCTACTAGCGGATCGCAGCTGAGATCGGACTTGCGATCCTGGGTTAGGATTGCGGTCTTTTAGTGAGATCGAGGGTCCTGTCTTGCCATTTCTCACGACGGATTGCGTAATCAAAATGGGTGCGACCACCTTATAGCCTCGTCCCAGGCTGTACGATCCTGTCCATTTGGGTTTGGGTACGCTATTGCCAGATACCCTTCCCGGCCTGTATCCACCAATCGTAGCATTCTTGGCTTAGCTAAAGCGTGCGATCCGTGCGATCGCCGATCCAAGCCCCAATAGAAATTTCCTTGTGACCGCTTTGCCACATCGCCATCCCGAGAGTTGGACCGGTTGGCCGGCATGACTACTGATCGGGATCAAATCCCGTTGTTCGATTGCAGGAAGATTTGCCCACCTGATTTCAGCACGGAAACTATCCGTGCTGAGGTTAAATTCTTCAACGACGTGTTCTTCAAACATCAGTGGTGCAATGGTAGCCGTGTACGAGACGGCAAAGCCTTGGTGCAGGGATTTAATGCCCTCATCCACAACATCGAGTGCATTGGCCGTGAGGCCTGGCTCGCCAAACTTGATGCGGCTCGCATCAGGTTTGAGAAACGCAAACCAGTCGGGGCGCGATACAAGTTGCACCGGCTTTCAAGAGGCAGAATTTCTCTGTCTCTCGTGGAGTGATTCGTGTCCATGTTGCCTGGACAGCTCGAACCGTGCCTCTAGGAAGGCCTACCTCCCTAATGATCCATACTGGAGGGCGCGCATCTCTTCCAAGATGGCCGAAGGGATTGACACCTTGCAATCCCTGTACTCGCGTTCGGGGATGTCGTTTTCTGACGGTCCTTCAAACGCAGCGGGTGTGTCTCGTCGTACTGCTCGACGAGACCAAGGACATCAACAATCAGCTGGCTACGAGACTCCCAGCTGTCCCATGCCAGTGGATAGCCACGCCAGCGGACGAGGTAGCTTGTCCGGACGCCATTCACATCGCGGTGGTTCAAAATACGCTGCACTGGAAAGCATTGACCACCGCTTGAGTCCACCAAAAGATGTGGTGGCGGCGGGAACACCTGATCCGGATCGAGGGTCGGATCAGCTTCATGTTCAAGAGCTGAACCGTGTAACAGAACAGTTGCAAGAAGACCTGGCTCACGAACGGACTCGGCGTTATGGGCTTAAGGATCTTGTAAGGGATAATTACAATTCCCTTACGCACGATCGTTCGTACGATCGTGCCGCTTTTGCGCTCGCGCAACTTGAGAACGAACGTGCGACTCGTTCTCTTCGTGACGGGCTGGCTGTAGCTCGTCGAGACATCGCTGAACTGCGTGAACAGGTCGCTTCGCTAGTCGGCCAGACTGGCTCGTTGAACCGGGACCACTCGAAGGTGGTCTCGGCTCTCGACCGTGGAGGTTTTCTTCGCCTCTCGAAACGGGCTCGTACTGATATTACGGGTGGAGACGATTGACGTAAAACGTAGGATGCGTACGCATATTACGGGGCAGTTCAATCGTGTATGTGTTGCCTATTCGGCGCAACAAACGAACTGGACCGATGTACCTGGGCAGTAATTTACTGCTGCCCACGTTTGTCACTGCGTGTTTCGGTAAGTTTACTGTAGACATTAAAATTAGGTCTCCTTCATCAAATGAAAGGACATTTGTTCTTTCATTTTTGTCTGCGTTTCTCTTCTGTCCGTCTAGTGCATCTGCAACAGAGTCTTGAACGAAGCGGACAACCGCTTCGCGAGTCAGCAGAAATTACTCTGCCGATTCATCCTTGTCAACAGCAGTGCGCTTCGTGTGCACTGCTGCAAGAACGTTGTCTTCACCAGTGAGGGCGTCATAGTCCTCACTTTGGCAGGCATTGGCGATGCTGAATATACCAGCATCGTCGTCATCATCATCATCGATATCGATCGCATCGACATCGGCATCCATCACGTCGACACCATTGTCGACAGGTGATGAGCAAGAACCAGATCGGTTTTTGTTCGAGCGAGTCCACTTCCCCCTTAAACTAGTTTTCACACTCTAAGAAGGCGGGTAAACGTGGATGGCGTAGGACATTCACGAAGCACGGTGTAAGCGTTGTCGACGCGTGTACCGAGTTGTTGATGGCGAATTCCGCCATAGGCAAAAACTCACGCCAGCTCGTAAACGAGTGGACATACCCTCGAAGTATCTCTTCGAGAACGCGTTTGACGCGTTCCGTCCGACCATCTGTTTCTGGATGGTCAGAAATCGACATCGCCAAACGTGTTCCAAGTGAACGGAACACGGATTGCCAGAACTCCACCGTAAAGCGGGGGTCCCTATCAGACACGAGTTCACGGGGTAAATCGTGAAGTCGGAAGATAGTATCGATGAAGACACGCGCACAGCCCAGGGCTGTGATTGACTCCGGTACATCAACAAGATGTACCATCTTGCTGAACCGATCAACAAACACAATAACACCAGTATTCTTGTGAACGTCTTTGGAAAACCCAAAGACGAAGTCCATCGCACCCTGACTGCCAACACTCTGCCGGAATCGGAAGAGGCTGCAAGGGCGAGCGGGATGAAGTTCTGGGCTTCACCCGTTGACAAACTTCGCAAGCGCGAATGTGTTTTCGCACAAACTCATACTTGCGGGACCAGTAGAAGTCACGACTCACCGTGAGGTATTTTTTTTCTCTACCGCGATGTCCACTTGTTGGGGCATCGTGACACTCATGCATAATGTGCAATCGCAAATCATTGTGAGCGGGAGCGACGACAAGAGGTGCGTCGTCGTTGATTGCTGTATAGTACAGCAGTCCATCACGAACAGAATGTCGTTCGATTAAAGAGCGGCATTGAGACGACAAGCTTTTTAAAGCTTGGTTACACGGATTGGATACACAATCCATCAATCGCAGAAGAGAAATATCTTCTGCGTCTGCTTTTCGCACATCGTCGAGCAGATTTTACGACGGAACACTCACTGTTAGTGTCGCTACAGTGGGATCACCCCTACAGTTGAGTTGAGCAGTCGGCTCGAAATCTGGCCGACGCGAAAGAGCATCAGCGACGCCAATAAGTCGTCCTTGTTTATACTCTCGGAGAAGTTGTACTCCGCGAATAAAGACAGCCACCTCGCCATTCGTTGCGAGAGGTGAGGGCTATTTACGGCCGTCCGTAATGACGCATGGTCGGTATAAACGATGAAAAACCTATCTTTTAAAGGAAATACCCGAAACTTGGCCAGTGCATATTTCATGGCAAGGATTTCCTTTTCATGCACCGAATAATTTCGCTCAGACGCTTGCAGCTGACGCGATTGATTACAGACGACGCGCTTAACGCCGTCTGAGTCGTATTGCACTAACGCGCAGCCGATTGCAAAATCGCTGGCGTCACAGACCACATGGAATGGTCTATCCTGATCTGCAATCGCCAACGTAGGCGATTGCACCAATCTTTTCTCGATGCCTTCAAAAGAGTGCTGACACTCAGCGCTCCATGACCACCTCTCGTCTTTTATTAGTAGACGAGAGAGATGTACGGAATCTCGGCATAGTTGCACGAGTATTTGTGCAAGTACGCCGCCAAGCCAAGGAACTTTCGAAGTCCCGTGACGTCGACTGGCACATGCCAGTCGCTTATCGCCTTGACCTTTTCCGGATTAGGGTATACACAGTTTTTACCCACGATGCAGCCAAGAATTGATATTTCGTTCGCTGCGAATATACACTTCTTGAGGTTCGCGAACAACTTATGCTCTCGCAATAGAGTAAGAATCTTCCGGACGTGGAATCTATGACCATCCACGTCCGTCTTTCCGTCCATAGCCCGGCTATGGACGAAGACATCGTCGAAGTCACTCGGTGCAAAATCGCGCACCGATCGCAACAGGTTAATAACACATCTGTTAAACGTTGCGGGGGCGTTACTTAGCCCCTTTAGCATTACTAGCCACTCCCATAGCATACCGCTAGGGGTGCGCACTGCTGTGTAAGGGATATCCCGTTCACGCATGAGGATCTGATAGAATCCATCCATCAGATCCATGGACGAAAAGATGGTACTCTTTGCCATACGATCTATGATGACGTCCTTCCTTGGGATCGACGTTTGAGCCGGTACCGTTGCAGCGTTCAGTTTGTTGAACGCGTGCACTATCCGCCACCCTCCAGTGGCCTTTCGCACACAGAAGGTCGGAGAGCTGTGTGGATATGTTGATTCCCTCACATGACCAGCCGCTAAATGATCAGCAAAGATTTTGTCGATCGCCGTGACCTGTTTAAAAGGCAGTGGCCACTGCTTCATGACACAGTAGTTCGAGCCAGGTTTCATTTCGATCTCATGCCGAGCGCCTTCGTTCTTAAAAAGCTTGCATGGCACGGATTCAGGGGAAACATCCCTGAATTCCACCAAATCCTTATACAAAGTATTTGTCTTCAAAGACTCCCAAGATTGAGACGTGCATTGCTCAATCCGGGTCTTCTCATCGAGGACACTCTCATCCATAGATGAGCTACTGTAAAACCCGTTCGTTCTCAGCAAACACCTGTGCCGACCGAATATCGGCGACGGACTCGTCCTTTGTGACGAGTACGCGGATCTTTTTGATCTTATCACTACGCAGATCTTGCAAAAATCTTTTAGATCCTAGCGTTGGCAACTGAATTATCTCCAAGGTGACTTCGGAGGTATACCAGATTAATTGTATAAGTACCTACGCTTGATCCGTCATTCACCAAGACATTCACTGTCTCGGTGACTTCCTGGGAAACACATCCGCAGGTGGTTGGGGATCCACACTCAATATAACTCTCTCGGGAGTTATCACTATCAAGAACGCTGGAACTTTCTTCCAATACGTGTACTGACTGTGGGTGTACTACCACAGTCAAGTCCTCTTCGAACGACTCTCTGTTAGTCGATCTCGCTTCAACATGTTGTTCATTATGAACAACATTAATTTCTCTTCTTGACTGCACCCTTCTTGGTGTGTGTCTGTGTTTCAGTCCACTCGATCACTTTAAGTGGTGAGCCTTCGGCGTAGCCTTTGTCTCTACAAAGGTGTCGGAAGCTGGTTCCACAGTGTCGTGGCCTTCTATACTGTGATCTTGTGCAGTCGTACTAACGACCATACCACAAGTGAGGCTATCACACTTACTCGTAGTACATCCACACGCTTATGGATGCTCCAAGATGTTCATCAGATGGCCATCTGATGAACAAACGGCAGGTATCATCACGGATCGATGCTGCCAGCTAACCCATGGCCGGTACTTATTAAGCCATGGCAGACGAAGGATGACATCAAATTTGTCATCCAAATCTAGTACGATGAGGTCCTCATTGTAATGCTTTCCTTCTAGCGTGTAGTGCATTCCCACTACACGTTTATTCACTGTTACGGATGCGCCTGTATCAAGGCACACCGTCATCCTCGTTGGAGGGAACTCTCGCTCAACATAGTTGAGACTTCTATCCTCTAGCGACTGGCGTCGAATGAAACTGTTCGACACCCCACAGTCAACTAGGGCGCGAAGTGACATTCCACTTGTCACTTCGATCGTCAAAGTGATGGAAGACTCCTCATCACTAAAAGCAGTAACACACAGAGATTGCGTGTTGGGATCAATCTTCGTCAAGAGTCTGCAAATTCTCTTGACGGTGCTGGATCAGCAGGGTGCTCCGCCCCTACTGACCCTGTCCGTTTTTTTACGGTCCGACTTGCTGTCGCGGCTTAGCGACATGGTCGGACTCGCGCCTTAGACCTTTCCTTGGCCAACGGTGGTCATAACGTCCTGTCTTTGGACTTGATGCGGTGCTTGGGACACTACACTCATGAGCGTAGTGTCCAATGTTCTGACTGCGATGGCATCTTGCCGTTCGCTTGTGACTCAGAGAGCGAGAGTTCTCGCTCTCGATGTAATAGAAGTCCATTGATTCGGGACCTCCTGTTTCCTGTCGTCTCGTCGGACGATAGTTGGACGAGTTCGCCTGCGACTGTCTCGGGCTGAAGTCTTCTTGTTCCGCATACGCTATCACCCTTTCCAGCGTATAAAAGTCCTCTCGGAACATGTAGTCTTCACCGGCCCATCCACAAGGCCGTAGATGAACACGTTGATGAGCGTGTGCTCATCAACAGGGTTTTCCGTGACGCTACTTGCAAGGTAGCGCAGGCGCTGTGCGTAAGCGTGCACGTCACGCTTACCTTGCTTTCGCCTCAAATGTGCAGAGCGTACTCTGAACTCGACTCTCGGCGGTTCAAACGTCTCTTTAAGCCGAGACTTCAAGATCTCCAACGAATCAAACACGTTTGGGTCGTTTAGCTTTAGCCTTAAGGCCCAAGTCTTTGCTCGTCCCGTCAAATTTGACAGGGCGAAGGTGACTTGCATCGCATCAACCTCGAAGTGACGGGCTATGATGGCGTCTTCTAACTCGACGAACCATCTCAAAAAGGAATCTTCATCGGTTCCCTTGTTCCTTGAGATATCAATCTTCAAGGTTTCGGGTTGACGCATGTGCGTCGGCCAGCCCATCGATCGATGAGAGCCTTGCTGCTGTAGCAAGGCTATCTTCTGTCTTTCGACGGCAAGTTCCCCTTGTAGGAACTTGTTAAAAGCAGCATGTTGCTGGTCTCTGCTTAGAGAATCCAACATACCACTGATGGGGGGTTCGCCCATGAGCACACTCATGGTGCGGCCGACTGCCTTCCATTCTATGTCACTCAGATGGGAGCGGCCTTCACGTGTGACGTAAAAGCTGTCGTCTTCTACGTCCAACATGTTCAGGTTGGACGTACACTAAGTCGTCGTTGGACGGACTACAAAGTGCTACCAGGTGTAACAGGGCACCCTTTGTCTGGGTACCGCGAAACTTCACGTACACTATTACGTGCAGAGGAAGCTTATATACTTAAACAGCTAGTTTAAGTAAAGGGTAAAAAGAGGACTGCATTTAATATAGTTAAGCTATCAATATAACTTTAATCTTTATCTAACTATATTAAACTACGTCGTCGTATGACGACAACCTGCTCACCACTCATTGCGCGCGTCTAGCAGCGATTGGTGGCAATCTATGGTTGATGTGTCTTATATCAACCAATCTTGGAGCAGCGCATGAATATCATCTAAGGGGATAATATTCATTCAATATTATCCATATCGGATAATATTGGTAGAATATTGTCATGCTAGACAATATTCCTATTGACACCGTTTGGTGTCAATTTCATGTAACGGGCTACCCCGTTACAGTTGGTTACCATGCCCTCGCTACGCTTTGGCTTGCGTAGGATTGATTTTTGTCGTTACTTAAGCTTCACTCCACGGCAGCTTTTAGCGTGTCTTCCGCGTTTCACAATCGCCGCCTGGGTGTCGAACTCGCACAATTTTTTTGTGGGTTTTAAATTTCGCGTTCCGCTCGAAGTTGTGCTCGCCTCTTCCGCTTCTTTGTGAGGTGGCACTGGTACACAGTTTTTGGTTCTCGATGTAGCTCGTAAAATCTTCCACCCGTGGCACCGTCTTTTCGGTCTCTGTCTCCGCAGGGATGTCACTACCGTGCAAGGACGTTGCCAACCCTGCCAACAACTCTATCGCGTGTAAAAAATGCCTTCTTTATCGCCCATCTTCGTCTCGCTTTTCTTAGGTGCTTCTTCTTTTTCAGGTGCTTCTTCTTTTAGGGGAGGCGGCTTATTTCGTCTGGGGCTGGTTTGGGTAGTTCTCGTGTCTCGCTAATCCTCTTCGACAAGGCCTTCCTTCAAGTTCTATATTTTCACGCTACTCAGGTCTACATCTGTATGTCAATTCTAGCGTCTCTAGCCTAGACCACCACCTTTTTCTTAATCAGCATAAAGTACCTTTCTTTTTGACTAACACTCCTCCTGTGTATCGTCGCAATTTTGTAGTTTGGGTCTGCATAGATCCCATTGGACGTACATTTAACGAGAGTTCGTTAAATAATATGTATTCTTTTTTTAGCCATTTTCAAGCTACATACTGTTTCATCGACACTCTATCACGATTACTCTGATTCTATGGTTAAATCTGGAGCAACTGTACTGCCGCAAGATCTTCACTCCACTATCACTGGAGCCAGAGTGGTCCCATCGTCGCTTTAATGTGATTCACCGTGATTTCTTCGTCCGTTTGAAAGTCAACTTGTGTGAGGAGAGTTATGATCGGTCGGCGTATCTTCTCACCTCCAGAAGAGTGGCAGGTGTGGGCGATGACCCGGGATATAGATCCGCAATCTTCGGCACTGCCGTACACGCGCCTTGAATCGTTCAAACAGCATATAATATTAAGTCTGGTATACATTTTACATAGTATAGGCACACGACGCCTCTCGACCAAATCAAACGACCCGGAACAGGACCGGCCTCGTTTCGCTTCGCTTCAAGCTCAGGTGACGATGGCGGATGCGGTTCTCGCACTTTATGGCTTCTACCGAACAGTTTTCGGACTCTTACACCCGCGCATCGGTGGTTTCGGGTAGCATTCGAGAAGCACTTATTGCATCACATATTCTGAAAATCACAAAAGTGTGCACACAAGTCGTTCAACCAACCGTCTTGTGCTTACTGCCATCTTTACAAATCGAAGTCACTCACTCTCTTCGGTTGAATGAGAACGTACATAGCTCCTTCTGTATTTTATTCATCCGGAACGTGGTGTTGTCCAACCTTGTCCAGGTCTTTGTTTGTTGAATGTCCACGGCGACGTTGTTTCTGTCCCTACCACTGTGTGGTTTAATAACCACCGGTGTGAGCCCATTTGGGCTTGTATGTGGTCTCGGTCCTTGCAGGTCCGACTGCTTCCTCTCTACCGCCGTCTTTTCTTTGTCATCGTCTTCGTCGCTGTCGCCGACGTCTTCATCGTTGTCGAGGTTTTATCGTGTGCTGCTTCGCCTCCGCCATCTACGTAGTCTTCGACTCTTTTGTAGCCGGCGTCACTGTATTGTTCCGTCGTTTCTATCGTCCTTGAAATTAAATGTTTTGGTGCTTCGTTCACAAAGTGCCCGCTTTGCTTCAGCTCCCGGGGATGGCTTTTCTTCTGCTACACCTTCCTTTAGTCCAAGTCGGTCTTTTCTATTCTTTTCTCTCTTTTAAAGCGTGACCCTTGTCTCGTAATGGTCCAAGTCCATCCGTGTTTATTCTTTCGCTCGGCCTTCAAATTTGCCTTCCTTCGCCGTTTCCCGACGGAGAGCGTTTCTTGATCCGTTAGCATACAGGCTAGCACCTGATGGGTGCAAATCTTCGTTCAGTGGACTGCGTCATCGTTTCTCAGTCTTGTTCCGTGGTCCCTTTGTCGGTAGTCGGTCTGCAACTTCTATGG